CACTTATGTGGACGGACACTACAGCCTTGTCCAGACCCGGCAGTAACCCCCACTCCAGCCCTCATACTCACCTAGTGGAAACCACAACCCAGTCAGTGAATCCCCTTACCTCCCCAACCAGGCTTGTTCCCAGCCACATATCTTGCGTGTGCCAGTGGTTGCTCTAACCCAGCTTGGCATAGTCCCTCACCTGTCTTGGCCTTTGCCTTTGGATGCTGTAGCATGGCCTGACCCAGCCTGCCCCAAGTCCTAACTCTCACTGATGGTTCCTGGTATCTGGCCCTATTCAGTCTTTCCAATCCCTGGCTCATGCAGACTGGCAGTTGTGACAGCCTAGCCCAGCATGACCTGTGTTCCAACCTGGTTTCTGCAATTGCCAGTTAGTTAAGGTTTGCTCTGCCCTGTCCGGTCTGCCCCCTTCCAATACCAACCCACACATTTGCCAATGGATGGAGCTACCTTGTTCAGCTTGCCCAACCCCCATACCTGGACCACATGCTCACCAGTGGGACCTATGACCCTGTAGGGGGGTTTTCCAACTCCCCCCTACTCAGGCCACTCCCAGATCTAGATCTCACATATGCCAGTATGTGCTAGGCTCTTACCTGGCACAGTCTGCCCCTCCATCTTGGCTTTTGTGTGGGCTGGTAAATGTTGTGACTCAACCTGCCCCACACCCTGTTTTAGGATGCATATGTGGGTGCTGCAGCCTGGATCTGCCTAGACTATTCTCAGCCCCGGTACCCATCAGTGTTGGTGGGTTCCATGATCACACCTAATTCAGCCCATCCACTACCCCAACTGTTAAGCTAATCAGTGGGACTTGTATTTCCACAGGATTGGACCCACTTTTCCCCCGCAGAGTCTACTCCCGCACCTGGTTGTCTCATGTGCTGGTTATTGTCATGGCCCTGCTTGATGTGACCCGTCCCCTGATCTGACACTCAGTCGGGTACTGGGATCTAGACCTGGCTTTCACGTGAGCTGTCATGTGATAGTCAGTGGTGTTCTGTGCCAACAAGCCTGTCTCAGGACTCATACATGTGATGGTGAATCAGTCTGACCTATCAGTCAGATCTTCTAATCTCCCCTCCAACTCACCAGGTCTCACTTCCCTCACTTACCTGCAAATACAGTGGCTCTATTATTGGGAGTCCCTGAGAATTCATTCTCACCGACAAAGTACAGTGGCATTATCCGTGTATGTCCTTGGGCAGTAATTCATCATCCCCAAGTCCTCAGAGCTCGTCAGTGGGCAGCCAGTGGGTGAAGCCCAGTGCCGATAGGTGCTCTGGCTGCCTGTGCCAAGCTGGCACCAGCTGCTTTTTAAGCAGTCAGTCCAGTCTGCGCTAACTCCCCACCTGCGCCCAGCAGCCAAAAGCAACTGATGGAGCAGAGGTTCCTGTTCACATGCCTAATCCCAGAAACAAAAATTTTACTTTACTTTTTTTTTAAATTACATTTGTTGGAGGAGAACCAAAGTATGTGACTTGTACCAGGATCTTATAAAATTTTTTAATCTTTTTTTTTTTTTTACTATGTGAGCTATGTACACAAAAATAGAAGAATTCAAAGAGGTCCAGCATTATGGCATAACAGGTTAAGCCACCACCTGAAACACTGGTATCCTATCTGAGTGCCAGTATTTGTCTTTCAGTGCCTTGCTGATTTCACTTATCAAGTCTCTCTGTGTTGTCATAAACGACAGAATTTATTTCTTTATTAAACCTGAACACCATTCCACTGGATGTAAATACCACATTTCCATTATTTATTCATAGTTTTTATTTCTTTTTTTTGAAAAAAAAATATGGATTGTCAGATTGACAGACAGAGAGACAGAAAGGAAGATCTGCCATCCAGTGATTAACTCTCCAAGTGGCCACAATGGCCAGACCTGAGCCAATCTGAAGCCAGGAGCCAGGAGCTTCTTCTGGGTCTCCCACATGGATGCAGGGTCTCCTGCTTTGGGCTGTCCTCCGCTGTTTTCCCAGGGCACAGTCAGGGAGCTGGAAGGGAAGTGCAATAGCTAGAATACAAACTGGTGCCCATATGGGATCCCAGCACATGCAAGGTGAGTACTTTAGCCACTAGGCTCCTGTGCTGGGCCCCATCTTTCTTTTTTTTTTTTTTTAAAAAAAAACTATTTTATTTTTATTTGAAAGGCAAAGTTATAGATAGAAGGAGAGACATCGAGAAATACAGAGGGAGAGAAAGATCTTCCATCCACTGGTTTACTGCCCAAATGGCCACAATGATTGTATCTAGGCCAATCCAAGCGAGGAGCCAGGACTTCCTCTGGTTCTTGCACATGGGTGCAAGGGCCAGAAGAGTTGAGACATCCTCTGCTGATTTTCCAGGCCATAAACAGGAAGCTGAATTGGAGAGTGGGCAACCAGGACTCAAACCAGCACTGATACGGGATTCTGGTGCCATAAGCAGAAGTTTGCTTCTTTAGCACAGCCCCAGCCCATATCCAATCATTTTCAGGGGTATTGAGTTGTTTCCATATATAAGCTATTATTTAAAAAATGATACTATGAATGTAATACAGCTATCTCTTTTAGATTCTGAATTCTGATATAGAATTGTTGGGTCATCTGATAGTTCTGTTTTAATTTTTTGAGGAACTTCCATACTGTGTTTCATACTTGCAGCACCAGTTTGCACTCTTAGCAATAGTGTGCCCACATCACTGGCAACCCATTTTATCTCTCCATTTAAAAAAAAATGATAATTCTAATTGGACTAAAATACTAACTCATTATTATTTTGTTTTTCATCTTTGTGATAACTTGTTTTTTACATACCTGTTGGCCATTTTTACGTCTTATTTTTAAAAGATTTTTTTTGTTTGTTTGTTTGAAAGGAAAATTTACAGAGAGGAGAGACAAAGATCTTGTATCTTACTGGTTCACTCCCAAAGTAGCCACAGCAGCTGGAATTAAGCCAGCAGCCAGGAGCCAGGGCGAAGGATCTCAAGGCTTTGGGCCATCCTCTACTGCTTTCCCAGGCCACAAACAGGGAGTTTTGTCCAGCATTGCAGGACACAATCCAGCACCCGCCTGGGATCCCAGCGCATGCCAGGTGAGGACTTTAGCCACTAGGCTACCATGTCGAGTCCTATGTCATTTTTAAAGAAATGTCTAGATCCTTTGCTCATTTTTCAATTGATTTTATGTATGTATGTATGTATTTATTATTGCTTTTGAGTTATATACATTTCTTTTATGTTTTAGATATTAATCTGTTAGCAGACATGAAAGTTGCAAAAGTTTTCTCCCGTTTTGAGGGTTACTCTTTTGGTAATTAGTCTGTATAGGTACAGTCTGTATACACACACCAAACAAGCAATGGATTTATAGATGTATTCACCCACCTGGAACTCCAAGTTGAACCTTTTGTATTGGGTTTGGTGTTCCTCCCGTCTCAATAGAAGGGATGAAAATGGGTAGTTAACAATAAAATACTCTTATTCCATTCTTCTATGGTACTGAAAATTAAGTTATATTGGGATAATCTTTTTTTTTAAGTTGAGGTTTGTGAGGTGGCTCACTTAGCATTAGTGAATTCTGTACTTAGAAATGATTAAGATGATCAGAGCTGAGCCACGATGAAAGCAGGAACCAGGAGCTTCATATGGCTCTTCCATGTGGGTATAAGTGCCCAAACACTTGGGTCTTCTGCTACTTTCCCAGATGCATTTGCACAGAACTAGACTGGAATTGGAACAACCAAGACACAAGCCAAAGCCTTCTTGGGATGCAAGTATTGCAGGCAGCAGCTTTGCCTACTAGACAATATCTACCCTGTCATATTTGCGTTTTCAACAAAATAAATAATGTGTGCATTTTTTACACAATGAATACCTGACAATTATGAGAAAATCAGAAAGCACAGATAAACAAAAAGTCACCCGTAACCGTTCCAGGTAAAGTTAACATTTTGCCGCATAGATGCATAACTTATACATGTATGTGTATGTGTTTATCTTCATGCATACAAAGGCTATTCGTAGAGTTCATAGCAACTGTATGTTATAAAATATTGCACTGGTTTAAATGCTTTAAAAATATATTTATTTTAATTGGAAAGTCAAACTTACAGAATGGAGAGATAGAAAAAGACCTTCCATCCACTGGTTCAGTTCCCAACTGGCCAAAATGGCAGAGCTGAGCTGATCCAAACCTGGGAACCTTCTTCAGGGTCTCCCACGTGGGTGAAAGGTCACAAGGCTTTGTGCCGTTCTTCTGTGCTTTCCCAGGCTACAAGCAGGGAGCTGGATGGGAAGTGGGTCAGCTGGGATATAAACCAACACCCATATGGGATACTGGAATTTGCAGGTAGAGGATTAGCCAACTGAAACACCATACCAGACCCTGATTTTAAATATTTTTGCACCAATAAACTTATCTCCTAATTTCATTTTTCCACAAGCTTTTTTAAAGCATTCTAGGTTCAGAATGGATAGCTGCTTTTTAACTCAACTTTTTCAAATAAATTTTGCATTGTATTTGCCTTTAAGTTCTGTGTTCTTCATTAGAAATCCAGAGTGAGAGGAGTGTTTTAGCTTAGTCATTACAACACTCACATCAAAGTATCTGGGTTCGTGTCTTGCCTCTGGCTTCCTGCCAATGCAAGCCCTGGAAGGTGGCCGTGATAGAGGTCCATGCGGGTGACCTGGGTTGCCCTCCCCACTGCCAACTCCAGTCTTAGTACTGTATCTGAGGAGTGAGCCAGTGATTGGGAACTTTCTGTTTGTCTCTCTTTCTCTAAAAAATAATCATTTTAAAGATGTTTAATCCAGAGGATTAGTATATTCCACATTTCTATAATCTCTAAGACCTTTAAACAGAGGTGAAACTGCACCTTGAGAGGCATACACCTCCTCTGTCAATGCAGTCCTCTGACCCAGGACAGTGCAAGATTACTGCACTCCTGCTTTGCCAGCCTGCTCTGCTAACAAGCCTTCAGTGGTTTCTGGTACAAGTTAGTCTACCTGTGCTTGGGCTTCTCAGTCACATGGACATCCACTGGTAGAATGTAAACATGCATCCAGGCACAGTTAAAGATTAAATGGTTGAGATGAAAGTTCAGGAAAACTGCCTTTAATTGGAACATCAGAACATCAGAATGGAGATAACACATTGCTGATCTCCTTCTACAAGGTCTGAGGAAAAGAGGAAGGAAGAAGCAACATAGTCAAAGAAAAATCTTCATTCCAGAAGCTCTCCAGAAATGGAGAAGTTCTGCAAATCTACTTTTTGGGTAAGAAGTTAAATTTATTTTCATTATTGACTTTTCTTAGACACAGACCAAGTGGTAGATTAGGTTGGAGTAGCCATTAACAAGAACCAGAATATTTGATAATGTTTTTCAAAGCTCTGGTGTTTTTAGAAAAGATATTTCATAATATTTACAGATTATATTCTGCAGGGGAGAGTAATATAATTTGTTCTCTATTTTATGTCTGTCACCTTTCTTTTCTCAATTGCTGTAAAATTCCCTACTCTGGTGAGAAACAGAGGAAGAACCTTCCAATTTCATCAGGCTTAGGAAAGGAAACTGTTTTGTAGTCTGTGTGACATGGGGTTAGGATGTGCTCATAATTGAGTCTTGTTAAGATATGTTGATTTTGAAATGGTACATTCTAACAGGAACTGGCAACTTAATAATGTGGACTGGAAGCTGAGATCAGGAACACAAACATGAACATTGTGAGCACTGAGATAATTTTTAAAGAGCATTGGACAAAACTGTTTTTAGAAAAAAAGGAAAGAAGAAAAGGCAATCATTTGAGATATGCATATCCCATATCAGAGCATTGGGGTACAAGTCCCAGCTCTATTTCTGTTACTTCCTGCTAACACGCACCCCTAGACACAGTGGGTGACAGCTTGGGTTCCTGCTACCCATGCACCTTAAAGATCCGGCTTGATTTCTAGGCTCCTGACTTCAACTTGACTGAGGCCCAGCCATTGTGTACATTTAGAGTAGAGCAATAGATGGAAGATCTCCTTGTCGGTCTCTCTGCCTTTCAAACAATTTTTTAAATGCTAAATTATTTTTAAACTATCAAATAAAAAAGGAAAGATAAAGTTACCCCTGAAGAAAAGGTGAGGCATTTGGATGAATAATATAAGATCATATAGCAATAGAGAACAGAGAATTTCAAAACAAAAATTGTGAGTACTAAATGGTTTAGTGGAGCAAAGGATGAGAGGGAACTTTAGGTTTAGTGATTTTGAAAAAGTGTTATCAGATTCCTGGAATCAGCTCAGAGTCATTTGATATCTATGAAGACAGAAGAGGAGGAGGAATGCGATAGCAGAGCATGTGGGCAGCATTTCCTATGTTAGAAACACCCTGGGCGCCACAGCCTTCAAGGCTAGGACACGTATGTATCCAACAAGAAGACTCCAGTGGCCCCAGGATCTTGCAGGCTATCTGTTGCAAACCAAAGGGACGACCCTTTGTTTAAAGAATCTCTTAGAAATAGCCATACAAAATAATTTAAAAATAATTACCGCCCCATTCTAAGGGGACAAAAATTATCTCAGTGCTGATAATGCTTAAATTTGTATCTCAGTCTCAATTTCTAATCCCTATCTACCTTTACGTGACCCAAACATAAGAACTGAGGCTGTCTCTCTCACCTCATAAAACATTGAATTTATTCCATAACGCAAAGATTGGTACAACAGTTGCTGAGAGAGGTAAGTGTTCAGTGAGCTGTCGAGAATCCACTTGGCATGCTTACCTCCCATGTTAGAGTGCCTGGGCTTGAATCCCACTTCCAGTTCCAGTTCTACCCCAAGTAATGATGCCTCAGCTGTTTGGATCTCTGTCACTCATATGGGAGACCCGGATTCAGTTCTGGGCTTCTTTGGCCTGGCCCACCTGCAGCTCTTGCGGTTCTGATACATGCCCTTTGGGCCATAGGAGATGTGTGCTACAGAATGACTCCACATTCTGCTCATCTGGAGCCCGTACCTTTCAATGTCTGCCAGTGAGTTCAATCGGAGCTAGAAACTAGTTTAAGAACAAGGGTTTTTTTTTTTTTGTTTGTTTGTTTCTTTGTTTTTTTGTTTTAGATTTACTCATTTTATTGGAAAGTCAGATTTACAGAGAGGAGAGACAGAGAGAAAGTTCTTCCATCTGCTGGTTCACTCCCCAAGTGGCCATAATGGCTGGAGCTGAGCTGATCTGAAGCCAGGAGCCTGGAATTTCTTCAAGTCTCCCACGCAGGTGCAGGATCCCAAGCTCTCTGCTGCTTTCCCAGGTCACAAGCAGGGAGCTAGAAGGGAAGCGAAATAGCCAGGGTGTGAACTGGTGCCCATATGGGATCCTGGTTGATGCAAGGTGAAGATTTTAGCTACTAGGCTATTGTGCTGGGCCCTAAGAACACATTTTACATCCCAAGGAATTTTCTCCCTTTGGAATCATGAATAGTTCTTATTCCTACAACTTGACAAATATAGTGATGAAGCTTGCTTAGAATAGCTAATGAAAAATTCATTAAAGTCACAGGAAGTTGGATTTTTAGAGGATAGGTTGTCCGGAAAAATCATTCAAAGGTGAATTTTTATCAGTGCAGGTAACTAGGAGAAATACAGATGAAGAGTGAGTCTGGGTGAGGGTGTGGAATTGGGTTAAAATTGTTTTTCAGCAGGTAGGTTTTATTCAGAGATGGGCTGTTGTCAAAAATGGCATGTAACCAACAATCCTTCCCTTTGAACCCTTAGAATTCCTCATTGCTGGACAGTCCGGAGGCAGACCTGCCACTTTGCTTTGAGCAGACTGTGCTGGTGTGGATTCCCTTGGGCTTCCTGTGGCTCCTGGCCCCTTGGCAGCTTTTCCATGTTTATAGATCCAGGACCACAAGATCACCTATAACCGGATTCTACATTGCTAAGCAGGTATGGCAGCGCCACCATTTCCAAACATTATTTCCTTGATGCACAAAAGAGACATTTTCTTTGGGGCCGAGTTCTCATCCCTGTCTTTGGCCAGCTTTCTCAGGTACTGCTGGCTCGGGTAGAGCCGTGCTGTCATGTCCCGCTCTGCACCCGCCCTATGTCTCTCTGGCTTCTTGCCATACTTCTGAAAATGACTTTGATCTTTTGGAAAAAAAAATGACTAAACTCTTACAAACATGGAGATCCCTAAGCAAAAATGGTTAATAATGGATTAGTCTGTTCATATTTTCTTTTCAGTATGAGAGTGCCAAAAAAAGTATGAGAGTGGAATTAAGATAAGTTTACCTTGGTATAAAAATTTTTGGAATCCATGTCTGCAAGGGAACTTAAAAAAGTTCTTATAAATGAGTGTTATGAAAACTCCATGGATGGATTTCAAAAAGTTTTGCACCAAAATAATTATACTTACATTTCCATGAAATTTTAGTATTTGAGAAATTTGCATTGTCTGTTTTTAAGATGTTCTAATAAATCAAGAGACTGTCATTGAATCAGCACTTACATGAGGTAAAAATGAGCCATGTAAAGTATCTTCTATACCATTCAGAAAACTTAGCCATCACTCATCTCCCAGAACTTGCACCTGACATAGAATTTCTGTTTCCCCACAGTAATCCATGAGTCAGGATGATCAGTCTCTCAGGAGTTCTGTGTCTTATTTACAGCCTACTATTTTGTACTCTGAGAATGGCAGACATGGATTAACATCTTAAAATTTCAGGATAATTGGTTTCTACTCTGAAACACTGAAAAACAGAATTCCTCATCTAGTGAAGTTGTACCTCCGTGAGAACCTTCTTTTCAGCTCAGTCCTCAATTTGATTCCGTTTTTCAACTTCTTCTTGTAGCTGCTTCTGAGCTGTTTCATCTCTCTGATTCTTAATTGTTATCATCATTGTTTAGTCATGAGTAAGCAGTGTTGGTCTCATCTGGACTTAGTTTGCTTGATCGAGTGACTCCCAAGGTTGTTTTGCTTCACTGGAGATCCTTAGTGAAGAACACAGAAAGGTAGTTGAATGAGCTGGATTTGAAAGTGAATCAAAGATACTGTCTCAACCCAGATGTTTCGAAGAATGGAACTCGCATTATTTTCAACATATTGTTTACCCAATACTATGTCAATTAATTCCATAATGTTGTATATTGATACTGAGGTTTTGTTGGGGCTTTTAACTGACCGGATCTTTACTCTGTTAGCCCTATCTTCAGACTAGAGAAGGGTCTCCCCAAGAGGCCACTGAACTTATCTGGACAATAAGACACTGGACTTTATGCTAGATATGTGTTTGCAAGGAACGAATCTCAACTGAACTTGAACTGTGGTTATGCAACAAGGTGGAGGAATCCACCATGGGGGGAGGGGTATGGGAGGGGTGGGGGGAATCCCCAGTGCCTATAAAACTGTATCACATAATACAATGTTAACAACAATAAAAAAAAAAAAGAAAGTGAATCAAAGTGGACATTAAGATGTCAGTGTCTCACATTGGAGTCCATGGGTTCAGTCCTTGGCTCTGGCTCCTGACTCCAACTTCCAGTCCAGTCTGGACCCTGGGAGGCAGCATTGATGGGTCATGTTGTTGGGTTCCCACCACCCACAATGGTGACCTGGGCTGCTGACTCTCCACTTGGGGGTCTCAATTCAGCCCCAGCCTTTGTGGGCCTTTGCAGAATGAACCAGATCTTTGGGACAATATTTGTGTCTCTCTAACTCTTTAGTTGATTAATTAATTCTAATGAATGAACGAGTCCCGGGGAACAAAAGAGGAATGTGGTACTAAGCTATGGAAGTGCTGGAGTCAGGACATGATATTCAGCAAAACTGGATTGAATACTGACCCAGTGAGGTAAGAGCAATCTTTCATTATTGGCAGAAGTATAACTTGTAAAAAACTGCTGAACTTAGGAAAAGTTTGAGAAAGCAGTGCCAAGATAAGTGAGTAAAGGTTCTTTGAGGGAAACAGATTTTGGTTAAATATTCAGAGATTTTTTTTTTTTTTTACTAATAAATCTAGGTCTGTTGGGGGATATTGTCCTTGAAAATGTGTGACATTGCGATTTGACATTTAACTGCTAGGAAAGCTATGGGAAGTAGGTACCCTCTAATGAGTAGAAGTTTCTAACCAGTGTCTTATCACTCATAATGTGCTAGAGAAAAGGGTCCTCATAGAAATGGACAAATATCCAATATGGCAAAACTATAATACTTTTTCTTCATTCCAGTGAAAAATTATCTCTGTAAGAAGTTAAGCTTAGTAAATGACTTTTCTGATTGAATTTCTTCCATAAATAAGGACAGAGAATGTCAACCTGGTAATCATTAGGCATAATATTTTCCTGATTCTAATGGTAAAAGTGTATGTGTTTCTGGTTATAAAAATAATGTGTTGTATTTGTAAAAGGTTTGGAAACTCTAGAAAAATAAAATGTTTTAATTAAAATCCATTGATAATTGTATCACTATTCTATTAATATTATTTTCTCTCTTTTAAATTTTCTCTCTCAAAAAGAAAATACTAAATGGGAATGCTTCAGTCAAAATCTTCCTCACGTGTATGTCCTCCTTCTGTCCTCCAGAGTTCTCTGTTCTAATGACTTTGGTTATTACATTCTTATCTGTAAATAATGTGTCATTTAAATGGAATGGGGAGGGATGGAGATAAATAGTGTAATCTGGGACTTTGAACTGGAAACTCTCACATTTTTCTATGAGTATTTAAAAAAAATAACATTTTATGTGCAGCTTTATAATTTAAGATGGCAGAAAATAAAATTATTTACAGTGTTGGGATTGTTATGTAGTATGATTTTGATGACTATGGAATAACTCATCTTGTGAATATATCATGACTTATTTTAATAATTCTTCTAATATTCACTCCTCTTAATGAACTTTCCTATCACTATTTTGTGTTATTTTAGGTTTTAAAATTCTTCACTCTCAAAAGCAATATTTCCATTCACATTTAAGTATAAATATTTGCCTAAAACTCAAGTTATTTCTTCAGAATAATTTTCTATGAATATAATTATCATAATTACTATATTTAACTATAAAAGCAACTTAAGGTTTTAAAATATAGTGGAAGAATTCTATAATATAGGAAATGTTTTAGATTCTTGTCCAACTCATGATAAAGTACATTTTCTGCATAATGTATCATGCTTTCATTTTCACTAATTTTATGTGAAAAGCTGGTTTCTTGTATAATTTTTGCATTTCTAGAAGTACTGATGCAGTTGGCATTATTTAATTTTTAAATATATTTCTTTATTTGTGAATTACCATTTCCAGTCACTTGTTAATTCCCTTTTTGAAATTTTTTTTGCTTGTTCATTTCTTAAAACAAGTATATTAGTGTATTTAGCTTTTTATCTTTTGAATAAATAAATCTCAGAGCGTTCAAAATTCAAAAGGTAAAAAAGGGAACATAATACTGCAGTTACTCTGTCCTCTCTTGGTGACAACCACCTTGTATATCTTTTCAAAGGTAATCCATGCTTCTGCAAACACTTGCACACATGTATGTGTTTGTGTAAATGTGAGGGTCCCTTAGAGGCCCTTCTTTATTTTGGAGATCATGACAATCTGTTTTCCTTTCAGTGACTACTCGAGATGCTGTTATTTAGTGATGTTTATGCCCTACATGATAGGATTTTGAATGGCACCTAATATTCTGTCATTATAAGTAATATTGCAATAAGTAGCATGTAAGGTAAATTCCTAAAAATGAAATGACTGCATCAAGAGTGTGAGGACTCAGAATTTTTGTAGGTAATATAAATTGCCTTACATAAATATTTGCCTTCAATCACCGATTTCTTCTGCCAACAGCCACATAACTGATTTAGTGACTGTTGGCAGTCACCGGTTTTCTTATTATCAAATTTTATAATGTTTTCTAATCAGTTGAAAGTGATATGTTATTAATTGTACTCTCATTATTAATGAAGTTGAACATATTTTTGAACTTTAAAAGGATTGGTGTTTCTTTTTTCTTTAAATTACCTTTCTATAGTTTATGCTCATTTCTTCTTTCTTAAGATTTTTATTTATTTTTATTGGGAAGGCAGATTTACAGAGAGAAGGAGATACACAAAGATCTTCCATGTGCTGGTTCACTCCCCAAGTGGTCACAAAGGCCAGAGCTGAGCTGATCAGAAACCAGGAGCTTCTTCCAGGTCCCCCATGCGGGTGCAGGGTACCAAGGCTTTGGGCTGTGTTCTACTGCTTTCCTAGGCCACAAACAGGGAGCTGGATGGGAAGTGGATATACTCATTTCTTCCCTTTGGTTTGTTAGGAGGTTTTCTAAATACTGCGTAGAAGATTTGTATAAATTGGTCCTTTTCATAGAATTGATCCATGGATTTCTAATCAGTTTTATCAGTTTGAGCTATATAAGACTGTGGTAAGGCCTCTTCCTTTTTCCTGGTCTGGGGAGTGGTCTGCTCTTATTTTTTTCTATCAAGTCATCCTTACTGGTAGATACATTAGCTCCAGCTTGCTCTATTTTACCTTCTAATTTAGCAAAGATAAATATAACCACATCCAAAGCTATTATGTTTTCCCTAAAAAACGTTGTAGCCTTTTTTGAGCGTAGGACATGTTTAGAAACAATGCACCCTCATTGTTACTTCTTTGACGCTACTCCTTATAATTAATAGCATTTGGTCCTAGTAGTTAAAAGTGTATTCATTTAGCCCCTTGGATCTTTGTCATTACAAAGGGCTCAATATCTCTACCTGAGCCATTCTGGATGGATGAAACTTAGGAAAATGAGCAGAGGTAGATAGATGGTCATGGAATAGGCTGAGAGTAAGGGAGATGGTACTAGATAAAACTCTTCATTTTGAAAGCTAACATACTGGTACACCTGCTCAGTAGAGGCAGTGGTTTCTCCTCATAATAAGTTGAGAGTGAACTTTTAGAACAGCATGATGCGTGTCATGTCTTAAGAACTCAAAGAATAAATATTGATTGACTTGAGGTCTCGCTGTGATGAAATAGTCACAGTTGTTTACAACATGAGCTTCAAAAGTTATGTGCTTTGGTCTGCAGAAACAGAAGAACAATAAACCTCCTTCGGGACCAGGAAGGCGAGCTTTCTCTGGTCCTCGCCTAGCTCTGGCTCTGGGCCCCCACCCTCTCTTGCGATGATCATTAGGATCACTCCAGAAACCCCTCAAAACAAATGAACAAACATACAAACAAAAAAACCTAGAATGGACAGACAACAACAAGGAAAGCTTAGAATCAGACATGAAAGGGTCAGCGTGGATTCACTTATACCTCACTAGGTGGGACACAAAGATTAGTTACGCCTCACTGAGGTATTAGGGATTTCTCTGCACACCCCTCCAAAAAACAATGTTCTGTACCTAGACTGATGACACATGTCTTGCTAGAGTTATAAGCCAGTTCAGACCATCCGAAAAACAACTAAGTTCAGCAAAATCATGCTTCAACACTATAAACAGCTAAATATTAAAATAAAAATAGACGAGACAGCTGAATAGTAATCTATAGCCATTTTGAGGTGTATGGAATCCAGTTGAATATAAACCAAAAATTGACATGTCTATGAAGAAGTCACAGGATGTAGTTAAGAACCCGCATTTTCCTATTAACATATTGTTAATCAATACCATGTCGATTAATGCCATAAGGTTGTAAATGGTTGTTGATGTTATCTTGGGGCTTTTAATTGATTGGGATGATACTTTACCGGCTTTACCTTCAGACCAAAGATGGTCTCACCAAGAAATCGTTGAACCAAGTAGGATAATAAGACGCTGGACTTTATGCTTGGTAAATGCTTTCAATGAAAGAACCTCAACTGAATTTGAACTGTGGTAACGCAGCAAGGTGGAGAAATCCACCATGGAGAGAGGGTTCGGGGAGGGGTGAGGGGAATCCCATTGCCAATAACACTGTGTCACATAATGCAATACAATTAATAAAAAAAAGAAAAAAATACAAAAAAAAAGTTTTGTGCGATGAAGACTGGAATCAACAACTAAAGAAAAGGAATAATGCAGGTAGCGTTATCTTATAGTGGGTTAGGCTGCCACTTGCAACATTGACATCCCATATCAGAGGGCAAGTTTAAGTCCTGGCTGCTCTACGTTTGATCTAGCTTCCTACTAATGAACCTGGGAGGGCAGCAAAGGATAGACCAAGAACCTAAGCTCCTGCCATCTACGTGGGAGACCAAGATCGAGTTCTGGATTCCTGGCTTTGGCCTGGCCCTACCACACCATTGCAACCATGTATTTGCCCCCCTTCTGACTCTGGCCCCATTTCTCCCTTTCTCTGAAATTCTGCCTTTCATATAAATTTAAAAATAAATTTTAGGGCCTGGCATGGTAGCCTGGTGACTAAAAGTCCTCACCTTGCACACTCAGGGATTCCATATGGGTGTCAGTTCGTGCCCCTATGGCCCTGCTTCCCAACCAGCTCCCTGCTTATGGCCTGAGAAAGTAGTCAAAGACAGCCCAAAGCCTTGGGACCCTGTACCCGCATTGGAGACCCAGAAGAGGCTCCTGTTTCCTGGCTTCAGATCGGCTCAGCTCCAGCCATTGTGGTCACTTGGGGAGTGAATCAGCTGATGGAAGATCTTCTTCTCTGTCTCTCCTCCTTTCTGTATAACTGACTTTACAATAGAAATAAAATAATTTTTAAAAATTTAAGAAAAATTAAGTAATGTTGTTCTGCTGCAGTAGGTGAATTCCTTTCTAAACCTAGTACACTGACTTGCTCTTTATAACCAATTATCCAAAATTTAACACCCTAAAAATTAAGCCTTTTAAAAAAATCTTATCATTTCAGAGGCAAGGGATCAAGCGTTTAGGAGCTGTGTTTCTGAGTTCTGCCCCAGGTTCTATCATAAGGTTGCAAATAGTATGAGCTGACCAGTGCTACAGTCTACTGAATGCTTGAATGAGATGAAGGATCTGGTCCCAAAATAAAATTAGTCATGTGGTTGTTGACAGAAAAATCCAAGATTCTTGCTGGCCATTTACAAGAAGTCTTAGTTCCTCAGCAAGAATATATTTTCCTAGAGCTATTTATGTGTCCTAATGACAGGACTGACCACTTTTCCCACAAGGAGTGATCTGAGAGAACAAGAAAGGCAAACACATTGCTTTTTATGATCTAGGTTTGAAAATCACACACTTTAACTATTTTCTGTTCATCAGAAGCGAGCCACTAAATCCAGCCCACAGTCAGTGGAGGGGGAACAAGCGTCTGACTTTTGAAGGGAGGAGTATCAAAAGTTTTATCCTGCTCCTCAGAGAAACATGTATCACATCCTTTGAATTTTATTTATTCAATGACTTGTACTATATGTATCCATTTATTCAAGAAATATTTATTTAGTATGTTACCTGAATCACTGCATATTGTGTTTTCCATCCATTGTTGGAAAACTTTCTGTTCTAAGAGTATTAAAAACAGTGCCATCCTGTTTACACTTGTCTTTTTCCCTTCTCAGGTGCTGGCTGGGTTTCTTCTTATTCTAGCTGTCATAGATTTGGTCCTTGCACTCACAGAAGACTATGGGCAAGATGCAATCCCTCCTGTTAGATACACCAACCCAATTCTCTACCTGGTCACATGGGTAAGACCACATACCACTTCTACTCTGTTTATCTTCCCTCTACCTGTAGATGTCTAGCTGAAATGTGCTCATTGGGGCCGAAAATAAGCTCAATTTCATCTGATTTTTAAAATATCTTATAATGAGGCAAAGCTTGGTTGTGATGGGGTAAAACATTTCATATCTTTCTACTTCAGAATCATGGATAACATCTAGGTTTCTTAGGATCAAAAGATTTTCATATTACTTTTACATTGGTTGACTTAGAACTCTAATCAGTGAATCACTGAGTTTAAAATTATTTGTATAAACTTGATATTAGAAATTGATGTCTTCCTTGCAGGCATTTTTAAGGAGGCTATTATAGTGTTTAAAAACCAAGAGAGTCCGTTGTTAGCAAGAGAAAGATGCTATACTTTTTTGGATTTCCAAACTTTATGAAAAATCAGAATTATGACAGTGGGCCTCTATTCTCACAGGGCAATGGTCAGCAAACACCAAGTAGGTAGACTCTGGACCATTTGTACAGCACAGCCTGTTCTCCTGGCATGCTTTGTGTTCACATTGGCACAGTCTGTGTGGTTCTTCAGGCTTTTTTGTTTGCTGGCACTTTTGTAGAACAAGCAAAGAATGATCCAGGCAGTGGGGAAATGCGGCTAGCTCACAGAGTGCTGGTTGCGTGTATCTTCCTAACTCTGTTTACTGACATCACTTTACAGCTTGAAATTTACCTCAGCACAAGTATTTATACCATGAAAATGGGCAAATGCTATAAATCATAGAGCCTTTTCCTAGAGAAAGTTTGGAAATCAACATTTAATTTGTTGTGTTGAAGCAGGTTAATACAATGGGCAAGGTTTTTTGGATTTTTGAGTCATTGCTTAGTGTGATGTTGGAAAACAAAAGTACAGACATTTTACACCTATTCATGAGACTCTGCCTCCTTTGCCTGACTAGTGTAATGCCTGAAATAAATTTCTTTGGGTCTTGAAAAGTTTTTCTAGCTCTCAAAGTAAATAAACTAAAATGTAGGTAGCAACCTTCTGTGTTGTTGGCTACTTTTCCAAACAAGTGTGGTAGGTAGAAAGAAGACAACAGGATAAAGTATCAGGAAGGAGATGTCCACTTGACATTTGTGTGCCAAATTCATGTGAATTTGTCTCCAGCTGCTGGTTTTGCTGATCCAACACGGCAGACAGTGGTGTATACAGAAGAACTCCTGGTACTTGTCCATATTCTGGATTCTGTCAGTACTCTGTGGCACTTTCCAGTTTCAAACTCTGATCAGGACACTCTTGCGGGTAAGGAAAAAAGAGGTGATGTGATGTAAGGAGGTATTGTGGGGCAGCTTTTTTTTTTAAGATTTATTTATTTTTATTGGAAAGTCAGATATACAGAGAGGAGGAGAGAAAGAGAGGAAGATCTTCCATTCACTGGTTCACTCCCCAAGTGGCCACGATGCCCGGAGCTGAGCTGATCCAAAGCCAGAAGCCAGGAGCTTCTTCCAGGTCTACAGTGGGGGTACAGGGTCCCAAGGCTTTGGGCCATTCTCTACTCCCTACAAGCAGGGAGCTGGATGAGAAGTGGGGCTGCCATGATTAGAACCGGCATCCATATGGGATCCAGGTGCTCGCAAGGTGAAGACTTTAGACACTACTGCTACTACACTGGGCCCGTGTGGGGCTTCTAAGGCAGATTAAGAGCATCAAGGAAGCTGAGTTCTGGGACAGAATTCTGTTGGGAGATTTAGTAACATCCTTGAACCATAAGCACCGATCTACAAAGGCTGATGGAACATCATTTGATGGGTGCCTCATTTTCTATTTTTTCCTTTTTCCTCACAGGATAGCAATTCTAACCTGGCCTACTCCTGCCTGTTCTTCATCTCCTATGGATTTCAGATCATGCTCCTGATCCTCTCAGCATTTTCAGAAAGAGGGGATTCATCAATGGTAAGACTCTTAACATGTCAATTTCACATGTTACTTTGTTGGAGAGTATTAGCAAGTATAACCTTGAGATGTGAAGGATTAGTGAAGGTGTCTGAGACAGCATAGACACTTTTATGACACAAGAAAATAGTGAGTGGCTATGGTATCAAAATGGTTTTATGTTCACCCACCAATATTTAGCAAGAGCAACTAATTCATACATGTGTTAAAAAGTGTTATGATCCTTCTCCAAATAAACATGTGTTGACCAACTGACTTCAGAATCATATATACTTTTTAGTACATCATATCTAGGACAGTCACCTTGTGATTTGGTAGTACCATAGAGTTTCTCTTTCTAATTGGTTTACTTTCTGATTTTTTTAAAAAAGATTTATTTATTTTTATTGGAAAAGTTAATTTACAGAGAAAATAGACAGAAAGATCCTCCAGGGCCCAGTGCAGTAGCCTGGTGGCTAAAGTCCTCTCCTTGCATGGTCCAGGATTCCACATGAGTGCCGGATAATATTTCAGCAGCTCTACTTCTCTTCTAGCTCCCTCCTACATGTGGCCTGAGAAAGAGTGAACTAGCATATGAAAGATCTTTCTGTCTCTCCTTCTCTCTGTAAATCTGACTTTCCAATAACAATAAATAAATCTTAAAAAGAAAGAAAGAAAATGGAAGATCTTCAATCTGCTGGCTCACTCCCCAAATGACCACAATGGCTGGAGCTGAGCTGATCCAAAACCAGGAGCTTCTTTCAGGTCTCCCACATGGGTACAGATACCCAAGGATTTGGACCATCCTTTGCTGCCCTGCCAGGCCACAAGCAGGGAACTGGTTGGAAAGTAGAATAGCCAGGACACCAATCAGTGTCTACATGGATGCCAGTGCTAGCAGGCAGCTCCTACTTTCTAATTTTTTTCTGTCTTTCAGAATCCTTCAGTCACGGCTTCATTTCTGAGTAATATTTCTTTTAGTTGGTATGACAGGTAAGACATACCCAGAGTCTGGCTTTCTGAATTTCTTATCCTTTGAATCTTCTGAAAGTGATGGAAATATTAGTGTTTTAAAATGCCACCTGAGTCTTCCAGTTCTCTTACACTCCAGGTCAGAGAGTGTTAAGACTCCTAAGTCAGTGTAACTCAGCTCCTTCATTGGGCAGAGTAGGAAGCTGAGGAGAGGGCAGAGGGAGCTTTGCTTTTGCAACCTGAGAACTCCACAGGAGAAAAGGAGACAGTAGGAAAGGAGAGCTTTTGTAGCAGGCCTTGAGGCACAGATTGGGAAGGAGAGCGTTCAACCAGCTGGTCTTGACTGCTGAAGGAGCTGGAGTGTGCCTCCTTTGTAGTTTCATGGAGTACTTTGTCAAGCTGGTGAAGGCAGGAGTCCGCTCTCAGTAATATATTAGAGGCATAAAGATCTATCTTTATAAAGAAAATGAGTAGATGCAGATATAGTTATCAGGACATATAAAAATGAGTTTGTGATATAGTAATACATGAACTGCGGGAGTATATTGAAGTACAAGATTTAGTTTTGGGCCTAACAATCACCATAATTTTAAAGCAGTGATGAGTCATGGAAAGTCATAGGAAGTTAGTCATGGAAACTTAAGCTGATATCTTCTGGTGACCAAGACATGAGCACTCCTTTTACAGCTATGGTTGATCCTGATTTCAGTTAGAAGCTAATGCACAAAGAGTTTCATTTATGTTTCATTCATGTTCTCACCACCAGGTTGAGGAGCCTTGCTCTAGAAAGATAGCATTGAGGCAGCCGCAGGGTCTGCTCCATTTCTCAGATGCATTCTGGAGACGCCTCAAGGTGATGCCAGAGTACAGAGAGGCAGTTAGTGTTGGAGGAGCAAGGAGCAGGAGCAGCGGAGGCAATACTTTTTTGGCTCTTAACTCAGTGGTGCCTTTCCCTTTCTCTTGTCTTCTAATACATTCCAGTGGCCCTCTGGCTCTCTTTTCTGTTCTCTGTACTCCTCTGTCAAGTTCAGTGGGCCAAGAGATGTGGATAGTGGAGCAAGGGAGAAGTCCTGTCTCTCGGCTCCTCCATCCCCATCCTGGGAGGCAGGTTTTGATAGAGGAAGTAAGGGGTCAGACCTCTGTCATGGCTTGTGAGGTCTCAGTCTGTGGTCACTGTCGTTCCAGCGTCATCCTGAAAGGTTACAAACAACCTCTGACAGTTGAAGATGTCTGGGATGTTGCTGATGAGTTTAAAACCAAAAATGTAGTGAGCAGGTTTGAATTGCACATGATGAAAGAGCTGAAGAAAGCCAGGCAGGCATTCCAGAAACGGCAACGGAAGAAATCACAGAAGAAATCTGGAGCCAGGCCACAGAGTTTGAACAAGAACCAAAGCCAAAGCCAAGATGTCCTTGTCCTGGTAACTTTTCCACAAGTGTTTGTGTGTGTTTTCTTTCTCAAGCAGGAAACAGTGCCACAATAGTTTCATCATTTTTATAGCACTTTACATTTTATATTACTAGTAGTACTCATAATGCCAATAAGAAATTTGTGATGGATACATGGATAAAAAATGCACTATTCTTTCTTCTTTTGAGTAGATTTGGAATTTTTCATATCTTTTTTTTAATGTGCTAGCAATATTAGAATGTTCAACCTTGATTGGAGTTAGTATTAGGAGATAAGTTATTAATTCATTCACCTAAAAATATTTATTGAGCATGACTGTGCTTGAGAAATCATTCTGGAAGCTAATTACAAGAAAGAACCCGGAAAATAATGCCCATCTTTAGACAGCTGGGGAATAAACACTAAGGAACAGCCATTTCTGCATAGTGGTTAAGAAGCTTGAGTTCAAGTCCAACCTCGACCTGTGATTCCAGCTCCCTGCTAATGTGCACCCTACGAAGCATCAGGGACAGCTTAATAAGCTGGTTCCTGTCACCAGGGTTAATTACTTGGCTCCTGGTTTAGCCCTGGCCTATCCCAAGCTGTTAACATGTGTTTAATAAGTCAGTCAGTAGATGAGAACTCTGTGGCCATCTTTCTTTCAAACAAATACATACTTTAAGCAACAAGCCAATACATAAGATACTCTTTGTAAGTACTAAATGCTGCTAAGACAGTAAGAGATGTTAGTGTGTGTGGATGACTCTTTAGACAGGGTAACAGTAGGGGCTTCCCAGAGGAGGTGACGTTTGCACAGAGATCCAAGTTTTGAGGATAGTCTAGCTGAGGACAGTTGGAAAGGAGTGTATTCCAATGTAAGGGAGCAAGAATGAGACTGAGAGGGAAACATCTTTGGCTGTTTTGGGGGAATTAGAAGATTATCTAGGAACATGGAGAGAGAGGCTGAGCATGGTGTTAGATGAACTCCAGGAAGTCAGCAGGAACTGGGCTGTGTGAATACCATGGAGCGTGGGAAGGGATCTGGATTTTATTTGAGGTCTAATTGAGAGCAAGTGGAAGGTTTTAAGCAGAAGGGGAGCGTGATGAATTTATAATATTCAAACCTTTCTTAGACATCTTCCTGGAAAATGAATTGCTGTGGAGCTGATAGGAAACTAGGGTTGTTACCTAAGCACAGATCGAACAAATGGAACCTCAGTTAGGAAAATTCTGAGAAGGTATGTCTGGTAGAAAAACCATGGAAACTGAGGCTGAGAAACTAAAATTTGGGGCATGATGAAATTCTGGAATATGAAATGAGATAGAGAAAAAGCAATCCTTGTTAATGAGATAATGAGCTGCTCTATCAAACGATCCAACTGAGAGCTGAAACTCTGAAATCAAGATTAGCAGCTGGTCTATGCTCCCTCCAAAACCTACAGGGGAGACTTCTTCCTTGCTGCTTCTGTGTCTGGTTTTTGGCACAATCTTGTCATTGCATGGCCATGTTTTCTCTATGTCTGTCTTTTCCCTTTTATTTTTCACTTAAATTTTTGGTAGTGTTATTTATTTGAAAGGCAGAAAAATAGAAAACGTCCATGTTCTGAATCCATCACCAAATGCCTGAAATGCCAACGGCTGGGCTGGGACTAAAGCCAGGAGCCAGAAACTCAATCCAGATCACCCTTGTGGTGATCAGGAACTCAGTGCCTTGAGCTGTCACTGGTGTTCCCCAGAGTCTGTATCAATAGGACGTCAGTCAGGACCTGGGGCCGTGAATGGAACCAAAGCACTCCAAGTTAGTAAGTGGGTGTCTTAACTGATAGGCTAAACATCCACTCCATCTATAGGACACTAGTCATACTGGATTAGAGCCTACCCTAATAACCTTGATTATGTCTTTAAAAACTCTATTTCCAGCTAAGGACATAGTTTAAGACACTGGGGAGTGAGACTCCAACATGTCTTCTGGGGGAAACATAATTCAATCCATAACAACCCACAGCAAGCACAAGGGAAGAAAGAACCAAAAGGTGCCTAAGCATTCAAAATATGTTATTATACCTTGCCTTTTACTCTCAGGTTTGCCCTTCAGGCCCCCACTCAGTCTGTTCTTTGTTTTTATGTGGTATTAGTGCCAGCTTTGTTGCTTGGTTTTCTGATCTCAAATGAACTACCAGCATCAGTTAAGAGGAGAGAAGAATAGCAATAGCGACTTAGAATGGTAGACGAGAGCAACTAGACACTTGAGGGAAGCTCAAAACCTGTGCAAAATGGCAGCAGGATCACAGACTCAAGAGCAACAAAGTCTTCAGCTATGCAACTCTGGGGACATCATTTTTACTTTTGTACCTAGGAAGAAACTAAAAAGAAAAAAAAGAAGTCTGGGACCACAAAAGACTTTCCCAAATCTTGGCTGATCAAGACCCTCTTCAAAACTTTCTACATGGTGCTCCTAAAATCATTTGTGCTGAAGCTAGTGTACGATATCCTCACGTTTCTGAACCCTCAATTGCTGAGGTGAGTCCGGCAGGCCGTGGGGCATCCTTTCAGGGTCTCCGGGTCTCCCCAGACATCCTACTTTTTTTGTTCCCATTCTTGTTTGCAGGAGCTTTTATTAAATTTCTAGTTTTTTTTTTTTTTTTTTTTTTAAAGATTTATTTTTATTATTTTTTATTGGAAAGGCGGATATACAGAGAGGAGAGACAGAGAGGAAGATCTTCCATCCGATGATTCACTCCCCAAGTGAGCCGCAACGGGCCGATACTATGCCGATCCGAAGCCAGGAGCCTCTTCCGGGTCTCCCACGCGGGTGCAGGGTCCCAAAGCTTTGGGCCGTCCTCAACTGCTTTCCCAGGCCACAGGCAGGGAGCTGGAAGGGAAGCGGGGCTGCCGGGATTAGAACCGGCGCCCATATGGGATCCCGGGCGTGCAAGGCGAGGACTTAACCACTTGCGCCACCGCGCCGGGCCCTAAATTTCTAGTTTTAAAAATGCTCATAGTTTTCTTCTACCTTACAGCATCATGTTTATGAAGATGCTAGGCAGTTGGCAAGATCAAGATACACTTTAGTCTGTCTCTTTTCCAAGTCCCTCCCCTCATGGAGGCCAGATATTGGTTAGGGTTCTTTCTTGTTGAGGAAAGCTGCTGTGGGCTGAGTCAGATCTAAGAGATGCACAGCACTTTCCAGAAGCATGATACATCATTCAGCATCTGTCACGGGGGAGTCGAGTTCATTGTGACTAAATTTTGCAAGCTGCCACAATCGTGAATGAGCTATCTCCAGCGAGCCCTTGTAACTCATGCTGAATTTGTGTCCTTTCTAAACTAGCATTTTTCCAGGCATGAATCTATTTGTCTCACACTAGTTCTTTGTCCAAGGAGTAGAGGAAAACAGGTCAAGCATTGCCATACCAGTTCTAAGGAACATGTCTTGAATTATCTATCCATTGTCTCAGGCATAGGTTATCAACTCTATCAACTCTTGCCATTCATCTCCAAGTAAAAGCCAGAACTCTAGGAAGACTGTGGGACTTAGGGATACCAAGGGTGTTGGGTGATTCTGGTCAATTTTATTGTCTGCAGTGCAAGGGAAGGATAGCTGACTGTGTGTGAGGAAAGTGGGGAGTTGCTAGAGGCCAGTTGGATCTCACTAACTTGACTGTACGCTGGTAGGTTGGTGATCGCCTTTGTGAGTGACAAAGACTCGTACGTATGGATTGGATATCTCTATGCGATCTCCTTATTTGCTGTGGCTCTCATCCAGTCAATCTGCCTTCAGACTTATTTTAACATGTGTTTCAGTCTGGGCATGAGCGTACGGACAACTGTCATGTCTACTGTGTATAAGAAGGTAAGCATCTGAGGACTCATTGTATTATTACCTCATAATTTTTGTGTTGTAAATTTAAAACTATTATAAGATGTTAAGAAATAAAAATTATACCTTTAAAAAATGCAGAATGTTGTCTTAGTAGGATAGGAATTTATTTCAAGAGTGAGGATATTTTATTAAAATAATTATTTCCGCAGTTTTGAATAGCCATACAATCTCCTTTAGATTATTTTGGAAATTAAAATATCGAAAGAGTGTTCATCAACCTGCAGTGGGAGTAAGGTTTGGGAGGGGAAGGATGCACCCCGGGAAAAGCTGCCTTTTCAGCCTTGAAGCTGTTCCTCTTTGTCAGTCCCTCTTGATAAAGTGAAAATGCTTCGGAAAGGGATGTAAAGTCAGAAAAGAAGCTGATCAAGGATCATAATCCTAAAGTCAGAGCTCTTTAAATTTTTACTTTTGCTTTTTTATTTGGAAGGCAGATTTACAGAAAGAATGAGAGAAAAAGAGAGATCTTCCATCTGCTGGCTCACTCCCTGAAAAGCCACAAGGGCCAAAGCTAAAGCGATCCAAAGCCAGAAGCCAGGAGCTTCTTCTGGGACTCCCAAATGAGCACAGCCCACAGACTTGGACCATTCTCTTTTGCTTTCCATGGCCATAAGCAGGAAGCTGGATGGGAAGTGGAGCAGCTGGGACTAGAACCAGTGCCCATACGGGATGCTGGCACTGGAAGTATGAGGATTAGCCCGTTGAGCCACCACATCTAGCCCCTTAAAGTAACCAAATTTTAATCTGAATATTTTATGATACACAGCTGAGAAACTTGATGTTTGCATCCATTGCAGGTCAGCCAATGAATACAGAATATTCTATGGGCCAGGCTTCCATCTGCCCAGACAAGCTGGCAACTTCTCTTTGTCCTGAAGCTCACCACACCATTCCTTGCATAATTCATTTTTGTGACTTGTAACTGTATCTACTCAGATCCCTGAGTTCTGGAGACTCAGAGCGCCTCCATTTCTTTGCCATGATTTTACAGTATGATGCTTCTTTTGAAGGTATAACTTCCTCAGAGCAATTGCATTTTCCTTATATCCTCAATACCAATGTAAAGTCTAATTTTGTTCCTTAAGCAATGAAAGTATAGTAGTTCTTATCAGTGACTATGAGTTTTAGGGGAAAGTTCATACGTGAGGAAAGTAGGATAGTTTGTAAGTCAGAACATCAATTGTCTCTTCTTCCTCCACTAACTTAGGAAAGTTCCATCTTTGTAACTTCCCTGTTGCAGGTTTTAATGTTCCGCTTTGCTTTCCTCTCTAGAAAACTAATGTGTTTTTTTCTTACCTGGGTAGCTACAGACTCATCAAGGGACACTGACAGATAATCCAAGTGTTTTTAGATCAGAAGTCCAGTCAAGTCTTTTGGACTCCCAGATGATCCCCACACTGGAATTTGTCCTCCCCAAGTTAGTTTTTAAACGTCCTTATTCTTGCAAGAGACATTGGGTTTCTGCTGGCTGACAAGTCGGGAGGCCACTGACCGGGCTGGCTCAGCCATTTATACTACTGTGAGCATTAGCAGTTGTGAGAATCCATTCCCATTATTTTGATTCTCAACAAGTTCAGGTTTTATTATCAATTTGATTGCTATTTGATTGTTACAACCAATAGAGAGATTTGCAGAACTAGAGCCTTTAATGATATTTTATTCAAGTAAATATCACTTATTTCAAAAAAAAAAAAGATTTATTTATTTTATTGGAAAGGCAGATGTATAGAGAGGAGGATCTTCTGTCTGATGATTCACTCCCCAAGTAGCTGCAACGGCCAGTGCTGCGCTGATCCGAAGCCAGGAGCCAGGAACTTCTTTCTGGGTCTCCCATGTGTGAACACGGTCCCAAGGCCTTGGGCTGTCCTCGACTGCTTTCCCAGGCCACAATCAGGGAGCTGGATGGGAAGTGGAGCCACCAGGATTAGAACCGGTGCCCATATGGGATCCCGTTGCGTTCAAGGCGAGGACCTTAACCATTACGCTGTTACACTGGGCCCTAAGTATTAATTTTTAAAGAGAGGAAGAAAATGACTAATTTCATATGTTCAAACAATGCATCAATGTGGAACATTTTTCACATTCATTATCACTCCACATCCCTGTGAAGTTAGTATATATCCTTCTGTCACAGAAAAAAAGTAAAATTTAGTGGGACTTTTCCCCAGGCAAGGACTGTTGAGACTAAATCAATGACCCTTCTACACTGTTGAGAAAAGACAGATGTAGTGATTACCTGGGAGGGTAATTAGAGACTGTTGGGTTTTTATTTGTTTGGGGGTGTTTTTTTTTTTGTAGTTTTTAAATTTGCTTTTTTATTTGTTTGCTGTTTTGTACCTAACAGGTGACATAGCAGTAGGCTGTTGCCACAAGAACCTTGGTGATATTTCTCTTTTTAGATATAATCAAGAATCCTGATATGCCCCACACTGAAAAAAATGCATTGGTGAATTCAGATAACAGAGCTCTAGGTGCAGGATGAAGTGGGGTATGTAAGGGCCCCTCGAGCCCATACACCATTATATGGAATTGAGAGAAAGAAAGTCTCCCCTTCCTTTGAGAAGATGGAAACCATACCAGGTGGTGCCTTAGTAAGCACAGTACAGACTGGTTTCAGTACTCTGGTGCATTTGTGCACAAATGTAGATATCAACTAAAAATAATCTGTGAACTCTGCTGCTTTCCTTTCCACTTTAAAATCTTTATCTTTCTTGGGAATGAGGTGACAATATCCTCCTAAGTAGGAAGCTCCAGGAGCAAGGATTCAGCACAGCAGTTAACATATCATGTGGGAAGCTGCATCTCATGCTGGAGTACCTGAGTTCAAGTCCTGACTCTCCTTTAATTCCAGCTTCCTGCTAGTGCATGCCCTGGGTTCAGGTGCTTGAATCCTTGCCACCCACTTGGAAGACCTGGGTGGAGTCCCTGGCTTCTGACTCCATCCTAGTCTAGTTCTGGCTTTTTCAGGCATTTGGGGGAAATAAAGCAATGGATGGAAGATCTCTCTGCCTGTCTGTCTGTCTGCCTTTCAAATAAGTAAAAATAACTTTATTTGAAAAAAATGTTTTCAGAATGTAGCTCCAAATAACATTGCTATGTCAAAAGTCTCCAAGACCTGAATCAACAGGTCTTAATCCCTTCTTCTCACTTTTCCCTCTTCCATCCTTTTTGCCTGTGTTTTAGTGTTTGATTTCTTTATGTGTGCCCTGCAAGGCACAATAGCATAATGGACAGATGTAGCCATTGTCCTCATAGAGTTTCCATCTGGTAGAGAAATAGCAAAATGCAACCATAGTTCATTGTGATAAATGTAATGACAGAGGTAAGCAGTGAGTGTTATAAAATACACAAGAAAGGCATCTTCTCATAAGAAGCTAAATCTAAGTTAATGCCAAAAATTAATAGAAATTTTCTGTGTAAATAAGTATGTGGATGGATGGAATTGAAGTAAGACAGAATAGGATGAAAGAATGGTCAAAAATGAGAAAACACTGTCTGTAAGATTTGGAGGCAAAGGGCCAGCTGGTGTAATGGCATAGCAAACTACTCCTCTGCCTGTGGTATTGGCATTCTATATGGGAACTGGTTCATGTCTGGTTGCTCCACTTCAGATCCAGCTTCCTGCTGATGGCCTGGGAAAGCAGTGCAGGATGTCCCAAGGCCTTGGGTCCCTGCACATTCATGACTGACTCAGAAGAAGCTCCTGGATCCTGGCTTTGGACAAACCCAGCTCTGGCTGTTTCAGTCATTTGGGGAGTAAGCCAGATGAAAAATAACTCTTGGGCCCGGCACGGTATGGCTAAAGTCCTCGCCTTGCAACCACTGGGATTCCATATGGACACCAGTTCGTATCCTGGCTGCTCCACTTCCCCTCCAGCTCCCTGCTAGCTGCCTGGGAAAGCAGTCGAGGACAACCAAGCCCTTGGGATCCTGCACCTGCATGGGATACCCGGAGGAAGCTCCTGTATCCTGGCATCCTGGTGTTAGATGGGCTTAACTCTGGCCATTGTAGCCACTTGGGGAGTGAACCAGTAGATGAAATATCTTTCTCTCTTCCTTTCCTCCTCTCTGTAATACCTGACTTTCCAATAAAAATAAATAAATCTTCTTTAAAAAAAAGATATCTTTGTCTCTCACCCTCTCTCTGTCATTGTAACTCTGATTTACAAGTAAAATAAATGAATATTTTTTAAAATTGCAGGCAAGAAATCATAGTTCCTTAGAAAAGTTGTGTCCATGTGGAGGCCAACCCTACACTGTGTTCTCCTGTCCTGAGCTTCCAGTTGCATTCCCCGGTGTCCTTAAGCTCCCCTGTGGGTCCTGATTCCTATCTTTATCCTAGGCACTGACCATATCCAACTTGGCCAGGAGGCAATACACTGTTGGAGAAACTGTGACCCTGATGTCTGTGGATGCCCAGAAGCTCATGGATGTAACCAGCTTCATTCATTTGTTGTGGTCAACTGTTCTACAGATTGTCTTATCCATCTACTTCCTATGGTTGGAGTTGGGTCCTTCAATCTTAGCAGGTGTTGGAATAATGATACTCTTTATCCCAGTTAATGCGGTACTGGCCACCAAGAATAGGAAACTTCAGGTAAAGTAACAGCCACATTTAAAATCTTAATTGTTTTGCATTCTCTAATTATTGTTGGGCAAGGTAAAACTGACACAAGGCTTTACACCATGTCAACTGTACTTGGCTTTCTGGGGCTTCCCTTTTCATCTTTTGCCCACTCTTGGGATTCGTATACTCTGTTCCTTCATGTCAGAGGGGCAAGCCTGACTAGTAAAGGAAGCTGTTTTGAAGGCCCTGCCTACAGTTTTTCCACTCTGCACTGAGCTGTCCTCAGAGCAATGGCTTTTGGCCCTGCTACTCCATCACAGCAGCACAAACCAAGCACACAGAGCAGTCCACAGGGATCCCAGTGTTCAGCCTAAATTTTAGCAAGTCCTACTACCAAATAGGATGGTTCCAAGATGACGGAGGTTATCTCTGCCAAGAGTCAAAGGTTGGATACGTAGACTGGATGATGTATGTGATCAATGCATTTGCTTTACATTCCTTGGATTGCTAATAATTATTTTCTAAAATACTTACTGCTCATCTTTGCTTTTCTGGGAGCTCAGCATTAAGTGAGATAAGACTGCTTGTTTTCATGGGTCATACCTTCTACCCAGGGGTGGAAAGAAAGGCAATGCATGAATAAGCAAAGTACTAGATCATATTAAGTTGTGTAAGAGAATTAAACAATGAGAGGTGGTAGCAGGTGGGTTGTTTTTTTGTTTGTTTGTTTTTCCAATTAAGAGGTGAAGAAACACATCTGTGAGGTGGAGACATTTCAGCTGAGCTCTGAATGACAGAGGCTGCAAGACAAGCCATGGGAAGGGCAAAGGAAGAGCAGCTTGGGAAGAGGGTAGGGTTAGCCAAAGGCCGTGGAACAGAAACATGTTTGGCATGATCAAAGCTTAGGTAGAGGATGAGTGTGGCAGGAGCGCTGTGCACAGAGGCAAATGGAGTGTTGAATCCCAACAAGAACACTTTGAGTTTTTACTACGACATAATCACAGATACCAGGGCCTAATGTTTGCAGCAGGTATAGATCTTCTCTTATGTAACTGTACTATGTTTTTGTTTTGCTCTTTCTTCACAGTTCAAAAATATGAAATTTAAAGACAAACGTTTACGGATCATGAATGAGATTCTAAATGGAATTAAGGTAAGAAGCTGAGCATTGAGGACCTTCTGCGTGCAATGACAGCAGTGGATTTCTTAACAGTCCCTAGTTGAGGTTGTCAATAATTTCTGCTGAGCTTGTAGTGTGTCACAAGACATCTGATTCTATCTCCTACTAGCCCCTCTGGACCCTCTTTTGAAATTTGATCTCTATGTATTCACTTTAAATGATTTGCTGGTTTTGTTTTTGCCTTTTTCTGAAGAAAATTTAAAGCATACACAAAAGTAGAGGGAATAATATAATGAATGCCTGTGGAACTATATCACACAACCCTAGCATTTATAGCACAACCTAACTAGGTTTTTTTTAAAGATTTATTTTTATTATTTTTTTATTGGAAAGGCGGATATACAGAGAGCAGAGACAGAGAGGAAGATCTTCTGTCCGATGATTCACTCCCCAAGTGAGCACAACGGCCAATGCTATGCCGATCCAAAGCCAGGAGCCTCTTCCGGGTCTCCCACACGGGTGCAGGGTCCCAAAGCTTTGGGCCATCCTCGACTGCTTTCCCGGGCGGGCCACAGGCAAGGAGCTGGAAGGGAAGCGGGGCTGCCGGAATAGAACCGGCACCCATATGGGATCCCGGGTGTGCAAGGCGAGGACCTTAACCACTGTGCCACCGCGCCAGGCCCTAACTAGTTTTTATCTATATACCTACTTACCTAATGCCTGCAAGATTATTTTCATACAAATATCAAAAATCCTATTATTTCATTTTAATATAACTGCAATGCTATCATTCCCAAACCCACCCAAAAAACTAAATCATTCATTTTTTCATACCACCAAATTTCCCAAGTGTTAAGTGTTTTTTCGTTCGTTTGTTTTCTGTCCTTCAACTATTGGATAGTTTGAATAAGAATTCTAAGACTATTTCCATGTGGTGCTGAGTACTTTTAATTTATAACAGTCTAATTTTCTGTCATATTAAAGAAGATAGGGTATAAATAAAGCTAGAGGCTTGATAGATTTAGATTGATTATCTTGCTGGGAAACAATGTGAGTTTGAAGTGGTGTTGTGTACTTCCAAATAGCAGTAATGATGGCTGTTCATTAAGCCCAGGTGTGGTCAGTTTGGCTTTTCCCTTGTAAAGTTTTCTGCTGTTTTTTTCCCTAGAACAATGATTTGTGTCCCTGGCAGCATGCTGGCATCACCTGGGAAGTTTATTAAACCTCTTGAGCCTGGGTTGTACTAGACACCACTCGTTTTATTCTTATTGCATGGGGTAGGCATTTAGTAATGGTAAGATTCGCATCCCACACATCAGAAAACTTGGGTTCATTTCCTGGCTTTGGCAGGCTTTTGGGAGTGAACCAGCCAGTGAGAACTCTTTTCTGAAAATATGAGCTCAAGTCAGGAGCTGGGGTCAGGAGCTGGGGTCAGGAGCTAGGGTCAGGAGCTGGGGTCAGGAGCTGGGGTCAGGAGCTGGACTCAGGAGCTCAAGTCAGGAGCTCAAGTCAGGAGCTAAACCCAGGTATTCCTTTATGGGATGCAGATGTTTTAAGCACCATTTTAGCCAGTGGGCTAAACCTACACCTCTCAAATCATTTAAATTCAACCCTCTGTGAGACCTAACCATCAGTGTTTTTAAAAACTCCTTTTTAGAATACAAGGTTGAAAACCACTATGATAAACATATTATGATCAAGTGAAGTAAAGAAATAAAAGGTATTATCATTACTGATGTTTATTATTTGATTAGGAGTTGCATAAAGGTTAAGCTTTTAAAAAGTGTTATTATAATTCTCCTATCACTAGAATTCTATAAGGAAGATTTCTCTTTCATTGACCGGCTCATTACTGTTGTGTGGAGTTTGTACAGGATACAGAAAAAGAATGCATGCTCCTTTTTCTCTGTTTACCGACTTTCAAAAGAATGTATTTCACCTTCCAAAAGTCACTATTACATATTGAGTTAATGCATCTTAATATTTATTTTTTTGTTGAAAAAGGTAGATATACAGAGAGAAGGAGAGACAGAAAGAAAGATCTTCCATCTGTTGGGTTACTCACCTAACGGTTGCAATGACAAGAGCTGAGCCAATCCCAGGACCTAGGAGCTTCTTCCGGGTTTCCCACATGGGTGCAGGGTCACAAAGCTTTGGGCCATCCTTTATTGTTTTCCCAGGCCATGAGCAGAGAGTTGGATGGGAAGTAGTGCAGCTGGGACATGAACCAGTGCCCATGTGAGATACTGGCACTTGGAGGCGGAAGATTAGCTAGTTAAGCCAACATACCAGTTCAGACTTAATGCATCTTAATGTTAGTCTACACTTTTTGAAAATGAAACAAAAGTACCTTTTAGCTTCTTGGTGTTTCTCCACATGGTGCTTTTTTTTCCTACGTGGCAAAATGAAAATATACTTGATTTTATTCAAATCTCAGCTCTCCCACTTGTTGGCTTAGTGATTCTGGATATTTTAGCCAGTCTCAGCTTGTTTTATTATTGCTTAAATGAAGGCAGTAATTAGATAAAAGTAGAGTGAACAGGGTTTGCCCAGAATGTTTTGTGTTTTAGCACTAAAAGACATGTGTCCTAGGTAGCCTCTTAGTCCCAGGCAAATTGAGCAACCTGACGTTGTTACAAGGATCATGTAAGATTACATGTAAAATGCTTTGTGTGTACTAAATTGTCATTAAGTACAAGCTACTTCTCTAGAATCACATTTTATAATTTATATATCCTTTCCCCAATTTGGGGAAGTATATTCTAAAACATGAGTGAATCAGATGCACCTGACAGAAAATATATGAACTGCCCTCTTTTCTAACATAATAGATCTTGAAATATTTTGCTTGGGAGCCTTCATTCAAAGAGCAGGTCCACAAGCTTCGGAATAAAGAACTGAAGAACCTACGAGCCTTTGCTTACCTGCAGTCTTTGATCACATTCCTCCTATACTTATCTCCAGTCCTGGTGAGTAGCAGAGTCCGTGAACTGGGAGGTTTGGGGTCTAGGTCAGCCTCCTGAGGAAGGTCTGTTCTTAATACCCAGTACTTCTAGACCTGTTGTTAAAATCCAAGGATCTACACAGCCCCCTCATCAATTCTCCATACTGTTGCACTTACCTTGCTTTTGTGAGATGTAGTTTCACTTTTGTGTACTGTTAGGTTGCTTGGTGGCCTAAGACAAATGTTTAGGATGTTCAGCAAGAATAATTTACCCAGGAAGACTTCTGGTCTCCTTCAGGGAGGAGGTATGGGTCTACAGTGGAAGGAACATTGAGTAAAACACGGTTCCAGGCCTAGAAGTTCCTAATTGTCTTTGTGCAAGATGTTTTATCCTCTCCTGGGCTCAGTTTTCTCACATTAGGGACTTGGAGCAATCGCTAAGCCTCCTTCAACTCTGATATACCGTGTTCTTGAAACATGGCAAGCTTGCAGAGTTAAATTACTTATGCTGTCTCTCTCCAGGTGTCTGTGACAACATTTTCTGTTTATGTCCTGGTGGACAGCAACAATATTTTGGATGCACAAAAGGCCTTCACCTCCATCACCCTCTTCAACATCCTGCGTTTTCCGATGGGCATGCTTCCCAATGTGATCTCCGCTATGCTGCAGGTAGGTGGGGATTCTCACTGCTGACTGCATCTTATCAGCCTTAGGACCCAGAGTGACAGCCTGCCATAGCCCACATTAGCTTCTGCTGAGGAACTTTCAGTTATGCATAGCTGTTTGGTCTCTGGAGATCAATGGTTTGATCTTAGAAACTCATGAGCCCTTTGACCACGTTTATCTGACTATACCATGAGGATAATCATACCTCTATCTTATAGGGTAACATTCGTGTGAAAGCATCTAATGAGATTATTATGATTATTTTTATTTATTTTATTTTTTATAAATTTTATTTTTTGTAATGATTACATGGTTGATCAGGGTGGGAAGGATCAAAGTTTAATGAAAATCGGGTGAACTCATAGCTTCCAAATTTGCTATTTCTTCTTGTTGTTTCTTGGGAAGGTAAGAAACAGAGAGACTCACGACTTTCCACATGTCCCAGTACACAGGAATGAGGAACCATCATCTCATATCAACCCAGAGTCTCAATGTGTTCTCAAGGGTTCTATCCAAGTAGTTTGGATAGTTCTGAAATGCTGCTGATTTCACTGATCTGAAGATAATGTTACCCTCCCAATATCCATTGGCTCCACTCACAAAGACTTTTTGCTGTCACTGTTTGTTTGGGGTAGTTGTCCAGTCAGTTCTGTTCTGCTACAGCACCAAATGAGCTGCCATATTCTCCTTTTACAATATGGCCTATGTCCACTGCTCCAACTTTTTCATTAAGTAGGACATGTTCTTTTTTTTTTAAAAAGATTTATTTATTTATTGGAAAGTCAGATATATAGAGTGGAGGAGAGACAGAGAGGAAGATCTTCCGTCCGATGATTCACTCCCCAAGTGAACGCAACGGCTGGTGCTGTGCTGATCTGAAACCAGGAGCCAGGAACTTCTTCCAGGTATCCCACACAGGTGCAGGGTCCCAAAGCTTTGGGCCGTCCTCAACTGCTTTCCCAGGCCACAATCAGGGAGCTGGATGGGAAGTGGAGCTGCCAGGATTAGAACCAGCGCCCATAGGGGATTCCGATGCGTTCAAGGCGAGGACTTTAGCTGCTAGGCCACGCCTCTGGGCCCAGTAGGACATGTTCTTGCAGGCGAGTCCAAGTACCTAGGCCAGGCATCTCAAGCATTGCCGGGTCTCCCTCCTCTGAGGCTCATGAACCCGGCACCCACCTAGTAGGCAGGTCCTGGAACTCTGGCCAGGTGACCCAACCCCCACCGAATCCCCCACTCCTGGGGCTCACACACCCGACAACCACCTAGAAGGTGGGCCCTAGGACTTGGGCCAGGCAACCCGAGCCCTGTCAGATTCCCTGTCCTTGGAACTCATGAACCCAGTTCCAGCTGGGCCCAGGCTGAAGTGACTGGCCTCACCTCAGTGTCTACAATCTTATTGTGCAGGCTGGCCTAATTTATTATGCCCTCTGTTCCAACTCCTACTGGTGGGTGCTGCAGCCTATCCCAGCCCAATCTGATTGCTGTCCAGTCCAATGTGAACTGGCTGGTGTTGCAGCTGGATCTGGTTCCTCCTGCTCCCTGCCCTGGTTCTCAGGTCTTCCAGTGGGTGTTATTTGCTCACCCAGACTGGTCTGTCCCCAGACCTGACCCACCTGAATGCCATCGGGTACGGTAACCTGGCTTTGTCTGGGCTGCTCCTTGTGTTACTGCTTGTACTCATCTGCAGGGTCTGCATCCCAATGAAGGAGTTTCCCAAGCTCCTCCATAAAGTCTCCCCCCAGTGGCAGCTCTCGCTTACACTGGTGGGTCATTGGCCAGGCAGGGTCACCATGACACCATGGTCAGTTCCTCCAGAGTCATAGTAATAGATAACTTAAGATACTAGATGAACTGCCAAGGTAGGGATCCTTTAAAAAAGAGCATAAACTGCTTAGCTACTCACAATTGATTCCATTGTGCTCTGCCCTTTGGGTTCAGTATTATCCTGTAGAACAAGGAATGCAGGGAGCTAACAGTTTTGCCCATCTTCCTTTTGCTATGTTTGTAATGTTCTTGATTAACTGAGTTAGTGGTACAATTAACAGAACCAGAAAGAGTTAGCATTTTATTTTTGAAGATGGTAGGACATTGTTTCTGGAATTGGGACCATAGACAGAAGAGAGATCACATCAGATTTAAGCTCCTTGACTTTTCTGAAGGGCTGAAATAGGGTGTCTATCTCTCTGTGGTATGGCTCCTAGAGCCACGGGGTGGCTGAGTCTGTGGTGGAGGTCAGATGTTCCAGCTGTGACAAATGGCAAATATTGGGCTAATGACAAAGTCAAAATCCCCTCCCTGTGTGATTGTTACTCAGTTTTATTCCTAAGATCCTTTGTGTTCTTCTCTAGGCCAGCGTTTCTGTAGAGCGAATAGAGAAGTACTTGAGTGGGGATGACTTGGACACTTCTGCCATTCAACGTGACAGTAATTTTGGTAAACAAATTTACAAGTTGCTCATACCAGTGCTGGCACCAAAATGTTGAAATACAAGGCCTTAGCAGAAAACTGATGTTAAGAAGGGAGGAATGTGAAATTATTCTCTTGAATCTGTTTGGTTAATCAGCATCCTGCTTTTACTTAAATTATATTTTCACTTAGAGCAGATTGTTTAGCTAAATTACCAGGCAAAGCTGGGCCGGTTGTTCTAAGAGGCCAGAAATCCTGTGAAGGAGTCCAGAAGCTGAAATCAGGATGGAGGCAAGCCTGTGGGTTTAGGAAGCAAGCCTGGAGGGAAATACTACATGGGTTCCAAAGGTATAAAAGCCTGGAGAGCAGTTACAGTCAGAGAGAGCAGTGGGGCATGAATGCCCCATGTGGAGCATTGATGAAAATGGAGTTCATCCTAGGGGACTAGGGCTGAGGAATGTTCCTGGAGTAACTGAGGCAGGAATCCGGATTAACAGCAGGTTTGAGACTCCTGAATCAAAGAGGGCTTCCTACCGCTTCTGGGCTCATCCTGGGAACTTCTGTTTGCCTCCTGTTAGCCAGCACTTAATAGAGGCACTATTAAGAGTAATGGTGAAAACAAAGATGATGAGGGATGAGGAAGGACAGACACATGAAGACCTACATCAAACTAAAGGAGGGTTTTTTGTTTTTATTTTTGTTTTGTCCTCAACAGACAAAGCTGTGCAGTTTTCTGATGCCTCATTTACCTGGGACCGGGATTTGGAACCCACAATCAAAAAGTAAGTTGCCTCCTTTCCACCCTGCTGTTATTTAAAAAATACTTGAAAGGCAGAGTGACAAAAAATGGGAGACCCACAAAGCTCTTCCATCTGCTGGTTCACCTCCACAAAGGCCAACAGCTGGGCCAGGCTGAAGCCAGGAATCAGGAGCTCCCTCTAGGTCCCTCACATGGATTGCAGGAACCCCAATATCTGGGTGATCTTCTTTTGCCTTCAAAGGGGTATTAGCAAGAAGCTGGTTTGGAAATGGGGAAACCAGGACTCAGACACTTGTTAAGGAGTGAAGGTATCTTAATCAGTGACTTAATGCACTATGCCGCAACACCTGCCCCCATCCTACTGTTCTTCAGCATTCTCCTTACTTGTCCTATTCTCCAATGGCAAAAATAAGCACATGGGAAACAAACTGTGACTATGAGTTCAGCTCAGTAGTGCAGACTAAACTCTCAGAGGGATGAGCTGAGAGCAAAAGTCCGAGCCTTTTTCACTATAGCTGCATTTGCTGTACTCTCATGTGGGACTATGAATGTGCCCCCAAGAATCCATGGAGACATTCATTCTTCTAATTGTGGGTGGAAGCAGTGCAGGGTCAGCAGATGGCCCCTGGGTGCATTAGAGGATACACAAAAGGACCTGAATTCAACTTAAGTCCATTCACTTAAATCACTTAACTGATCAGAAACATTGAATCTAGCTTCTCTCCCTAGACAGGACAATGGGAGCTGCCTCTGTAAGATTCAAGTTTATCTCTGGATTGTGACATAAAAATAACCCTTTTCCATTCACTACCCTGTAGGCCACCTTTTCTTCAAGCAGGTAGAGTATTGTAAGCTAAGTCATACCCTATGCCATGCTGTTGTACATAGTGTGTCTCTTAAGGTCTATGTGTAATAACATACCACACTGAATCCAGCACACACAGAATATACCAGAAAGCCAAGCAAGCTTGTCTTTCTTTCTCCACAACTGACCACCACTTATTTCCATGCTATTTATATGGCTTTCCACCCTTCTCTCCTGTTCCCAAATAGCCTTCAACCTGAATTCCAGAGCTAGTCCCATAAGTCAGGACAGGATACCTCTACTCTGAATACTCCAAACCCTAAAGTTTCCCTTGGCAAAGAGGAAACTGTAAGGCTGGCATGGTAGCCTCATAGCTGAATCCTTGCTTTGCATCTGCCAGAATCCCATACTGATGCCAGTGGTGTCCTGGCTGCTCCACTTCCTGTCCAGTTCCCTGCTTGTGGCCTGGGAAAACAACAGAGGATGGTCCAAGACCTTGGGACATTGCACCCACGTGGGACACCCAGAAGAAGTTCCTGGCTCCTGGCTTTAGATCAGCTTAGCTCCAGCCATTACGGCCACTTGGGGAGTGAACCAGCAGACATAAGAGCTTTCTGTCTCCTCTCTGCATATTTGTCTTTCCGAAAAAAAAAAAAAATAAATCCTTTTAAAAAAAAAGAGGAAACTGCACACACACATTCTCCCTATACTACTATAAGGCTGGAGAAAGTTTGGCTTAATGAGCAGGCTCAGATGAAGAACATGTTCCTAATTTCTAGAAAATTAAGTAACAGGGTTGGCACATTGTTCCTGGTTATCTAACCCAGTGTGGATTCCTTGCCAACCACACATAGTCATATCTTCAAAGCATCTGCTTTGAATTTGAGTAACTAACTTTGGGGAATGTTGGACTTCTCAAACCCCATTAAGTTGAAAAATTATCCTGCAAGGTCAAACAGCTCAGCAGTAATAGAGTTGGGCCTTGAACCAAACTGCGTCTCCAGGTTTCCACTAGTTTCTTGTTGAAAGGTAACATGTTGGTCCCAGGAGAATTTTCAGTTCCTTGAAATCTGTATCTATCTCAAATAGACTGAATGAGTTGGGTAAGTTTGGAATTGAACTCTGATTTGTTAGTTTTTTGCTTTGCTTTGTTTTGTTTTTGAGAAAAAAAATCTTTAAAGAAGCAGTTTGGAGTCTTGCATATCCTGTTTGTATTTTCCAACTTTAGAGGTGATATCTGCTAATACCAGACTTTACAAAAACCCCAACTGCAAAAGTACTTTTTTTCTCCCCAGTGTGAACCTGGACATTATGCCAGGCAAACTGGTGGCTGTGGTGGGAACTGTGGGTTCTGGAAAATCATCTCTGATGTCAGCCATGCTGGGAGAAATGGAAAATGTCTGTGGGAACATCAAAATCAAGGTAAAAGAGAATGCCAGTACAGAAAATTTCTAACCCTCACTTGTGGACCACTCTGTGCTCACTATGGGTGCTTTGGAGGTGCATGACAAATTGGTAAGCTGTAAATTCTCTGTTCCATCCCACACTTAATTAGACTCTGGAGGTAGGACCTAAGAATCTGCATTTTTTAAAAGAACATATGCTTTTAGCAAGCTCTCCAGGTGTTTCTCATATGTATACTAAGTGTAAACACCAGTGACCAGAGATGTCTTCCTCCAAATTGTAGGCATTTCTGCTCATCTATGTATACGTTTATGAAACCTCATGTTCTACAAACTTATGCAATACAATAACAGGCCCTGGGGGAAAGGAATTGTAAGAGATCAACATAAGCTTATATAACTTTGTAGCCCAAGTATGAACAGAAGCAGTACCAACAGTGGTAGTAGCCAGAACCCAACCACAGCACCCAGACATCACAGTTATTCTTGGGCCTCTCGTTTTCTCCTTTGAGAGCTGGATCTTTTCAAGACGTTTGTTTGCAATACAACATCTGATGTAGGGGGTTGATTTCCTCATCAATTATGATTTTTTTTCTATAAGACAGATTAAAATGTTTTCATGGCATCTTTGGACTCCACAGCTCCGTGTGAGGGAAATTATAAATATTTTTGAATCATTAAACCAGCTACAACTTGCACAAACATGAGGCAAATCTATAGATTTTCTCAGCTTTTTTCCTGAGACCTGCCTGTATTGCAAAGATTTTCTTTCTAATGATGAGAAAACTACCCCTGGATACTTTAATTAACCTGCTTGGAAACTTTTTCAGAACTTCCTCCTCTTCTACAATGTACTTATTTTACCAGCCTCTAATGAGCTAATTCGTATTTTAAAGGAAATATTTTCTGTAGCAAAGAAGACTATAGATTTCACTCTGCCTTCTAGCCCATTTTGGGAAGTCTTATTGCTAACACACAATTGAGTTCTTCCTCAAACACAGGCACTTGTTGACTCCCTCTCTTTGGATGTGATCTTCTCTGTACATCACCTTGGTTTTCTGATCCAGTCTCTAGTTCTTGCTTCCTAAACTGCTGTTGTGACAGTCTTCCTGTCAGTGTTCTAGGATCATGGCTGGGAAAGAATAGTACGAAGAAATGTGCGTTAACTGGCACACAGTAAGTTGAAGCTTTCTCCCCAGACAATACAGTAAATACAAGCGCATTAATAAATAACAGATACCCAGTCAGCGTGCCACACAGGCCTTCAGATCTAAACTCTATTTGTTCCTGCCCATTTATGCCAGCCCATCCTTCAACCTGGAATTTCTGAAAGTGTAACGGTCGTATTATCTGAGCCTTTTCCTTCCAGGGCACTGTTGCTTATGTGCCACAGCAGTCCTGGATCCAGAACGGCACCATAAAGGACAACATCCTGTTTGGATCAGAGTTTAATGAAAAAAGGTACCAGCAAGTTCTGGAGGCATGTGCACTCCTCCCAGACTTGGAAATACTGCCTGGAGGAGACCTGGCTGAAATTGGAGAGAAGGTACATAGAACAGAAAGAGAGCTTGAGGGTTGAAGAAATATTGAGGTGGGGGGAAATGAGGAATGTGGAGAAATGCATAGGAGTAACAGATTGACTAATTATGATCATCATGTCTTGAACTAACACCAGAAAACATGCCTATACTGACCACAACATACAAATAAGTCAGAGGTTTTAAGCAATGTAGTTAGAAGCAAATATAGGGATTATGTCATCTAAGTCAAAGACGATAAGACAAAGAACCAGCAAGGCTAAGTTACTGTGATTAGAATAATGCTTGACCTCACATGTGACAGGCAAGAGGTGGCAAGGAACCTATGGTTTCCTGATTCTACTTCTGTATACCGGTGAGGCAAGAGGATAGTTCTAGTTGCCCACTTCAGACACTGTAGAAACTTCTTGTGAATTGTTTTTTCATGCAATGGAATGCCTTTCTTAAAAAAGATTATATTGTGTCCATTACATAGATTTATCATAATGTATTCAACATTTCTGACTATCTCATATTTGGAATACTGTCATCCTTCCTCTCCATTACTAGAAACATATATATATATATGTGTGTGTGTGTGTGTATGTATATATATATAGTGTGTGTGTACATATACATTATATATACACTATATATTATATAAATACACACTATGCATACACACACACATATATGTGTGTGTATGTGTGTATATATATATATATGTTTTACAGGATGGCAGCCAGCCTAGTAGTTACAAAGCCGGTGGGAGTGCCTGCATTCCTTGATGGAGTATCTTTATTTCATCCCTGCATCCCCTCCTGATTCCAGCTTTCTGCTGAAGTCCACCCTAGGAAGCAGCAAATGATGGTTCAATAGTTGGGTCCCTGCCATCCATGTGGGAGACTCATTTTGAGTTCCAAACTTTGGCCTGGCCCAGCTCTAGTTATTGTGGAGATTTAAGAAAAAACAAAGAAAACCTCTTTCTGTCTCTGTCCCTCTAACAAATAAAGAATTTCTTTAAAAGTTTCACTTGTTTCTTTAAAAAGAAGGGTGACAGAGAAAGTAAGGGAAAGAGAGAGAGCTTTCATCTGCTGCTTCGCTCCCTAAATTCTCATAATAGCCAAGGCTGGACCTAGCCAAAGCCAGGAGCCCAGAGCTCCATCCAGGCCTTCCACATGGGTGATGGGGCATCCAGTGACTTGGGGAATCAGGTAGGGAGTTAGAAGGAAGTGGATGAGCTGCAATTTGTACCAGCCTAATATTGTAATGTTATTCCCTCACCTGTTAGTTTGACATTCCCACCTTCCTGTGATACATGTGTCTCATCCAGAATTAGGACGGAGGAGACATCATGATGGCCACATTGAAGCTCAGCTTCACATAGAGCAGATAATAAAATTTCTAAAAAGAATGGGCATTGTAAGCCCCACCATTTGCATATTTAATTAGGGATCCATTCTTTGCCTTATAAAAGAAACTGTTAATGTGGAGGGGGGAGCCCTTCTCCACGCCTCCCCTCTTGATCTTCTATGGGATCCCTCTTGGACCTCCTCCTTTCCTTCTCTCCCCTGACCTACTTGCAACAGATGTGTCATCGTGTGGACAACACACATTCATGGTAAGAATATGTATTCAGTCCCTCTTTGTTAAATCCTGCTTTCACTTGTTCACTATGAACATGCAAATGCTTCTACTTTGAATTCTTATCTCTATGAGGGCAAGAACCTGGAATAAAAACATTTCTAGGCGTATACTATGAAGGTGGCTTGAGAGAAATTATCTTTTCCTTCTTCAGGGTATAAATCTCAGTGGGGGTCAGAAGCAGCGAGTCAGCCTGGCCAGAGCTACCTATCAACATGCAGACATCTATATTCTAGATGATCCCTTGTCAGCTGTGGATGCTCATGTGGGAAAACATATTTTCAGTAAAGTCTTGGGACCCAATGGCCTGTTGAATGGCAAGGTGAGAAGTCATTCCAAGTGATGAAGGGTGAGTGGGGTGTTTGTGGGGTTGGGAGGGGTGGGGGATCCTCTGCATCTCCAAATACAGCTGTGATCCTGAAGCAGATTTCCTATTTACCAGCTCACATGGACTTCCAAGGAAATACAATATCAAACTTACATCCTTGCGCACTACCCCCTAAAGGCTCCCAGCATAAGGCCATGGCCTCTGCCAGGCTGGCTAAATGAAACCTTATCCTGTGGCTCTAAGATTGTGTTTTAGGATGATTGTTTATGACAAAAAGTACTTTGGAATCTGTGATTAGGGCAATAAGCCTATTTGGCCTTTGTCCCCAGTTCCTGTCCCTAGTTCCCAAGACCCTTGGATAGAAGTGTGTTATATAACTCATCATGAGCCATCACCCCCTCTTTTTTTTAAAGATTTATTTATTTAATTGGAAAGTCAGACATACAGAGAGGAGGAGAGACAAAGAGGAAGATCATTCACTCCCCAAGTGACCGCAACAGCCAGAAATGCGCCAGTCTAAAGCCAGGAGCCAGGAGCTCTTCTGGGTCTCCCACGTGGGTGCAGGATCCCAAGGCTTTAGGCCATCCTCAACTGCTTTCTCAGGCCACAAGCAGGGAGCTGGATGGGAAGTGGGGCTGCCGGGATTAGATCTGGTGCCCATATGGGATCCTGGCACTTTCAAGGCAAGGGCTTTAGCTGCTAGGCCACTGCACTGGACCCTATGAGCCCCTTTTGATCACACTGATTTCATGATAGTGAGCTGACTTGGGATAAGGCCCCAGATATCCTCAATATTGGACTGACCACCAGAAGGACTAAATATTTGTGGGTTGGAATTTTCAGTCCTACCCACTGACCTCCAAATAGGAAAGAAGTGGGCAGGGGTAGAGATTGGATTATAACAGTTCTCGAGCAATGAGATGTGTGGTTTCCATGCTAGAGAAGCCAACAAGGTGTAAGTGAAGTGGGTTGTGGGAGAGGGAAGGGCAACAGAAAGGGCTTGAAAACCTCACACTCCCCACGTTCCTTGCCTTCTGCATCTCTTTCATTTGGCTGCTGCTGAGTTTCATCCTTTCCAATAAAGTCAAATGTAAGCAGTGGATTTTTCTATAATGTTGTGAGCCTTAGGAAGGGTGGAACCTGAACAGGGGTCTACAGAAACTAACAATTTTGCTACTGGTATCTGAAGCAGCTAAAGTCTTGTGAAATGAGCCCTTAAGCTGTAAGGTCTGTACTGACTCCAAGTAGTTGCTGTCAGAATTGAGTTGAACTAATGAATGCTCAACTGATATAGCAGAATTGATTGGTGTCAGGAAACACTGCTGAGGACGCAACAGTTTACCTTTCTGATGGAACACAGGTCATCTTGCAAGTCCTTATGTTCTAGAAAGGTGCTTCCCATGGAATTCTTGCTGGATGTGAGAAGCCTTTGCCTGGAAGGGATTACTCAACCAGAACATAGAAATAATACTTAACGCATATTGGGTACTCACTATGCCCTAAGCCTTTGCTAAGCTTTTCAACTGCATGGCATGATCCTGCTTGAATCATAATGCTCCTGTGAGATAGTACAAATTAAGTGGTCAGAGATACCACAGTTAATTAGCTCATTTGTCCAGGTATAGCAAGCTGAATTAGAAGAAGGAGTGACAAAGGTACATTGTATATCAACTATAGTTAGCCTGTTCCCTTCAAGATTTTTTAAAAGATTTATTTTATTTTTATTGGAAAGGCAGATATACAGAGAGATGAGGAGAGACAGAAAGGAAGATCTTTCGTCTGATGGTTCACCCCCCTAGTGTTCGCAACGGCTGGAGCTGAGCCAATCCAAAGCCAGGAGCCAGGAGCTTCTTCTGGGTCTCCCACATAGATGCAGGGTCCCAAGGGTTTGGGCTGTCCTCGACTGCTTTCCCGGGCCACAGGCAGGGAGCTGGATTGGAAACGGGGCCACCGTGACTAGAACCAGCACCCATGTGGGATCCAGGCGTATTCAAGGCAAGGACTTTAACCACTACGCTGTTGCACTGGGCCCCCTTCAAGATTTTTGAGTCCTGTTAGTCAGAGGATGGCAGGATTGATGACAACAGGGGTGCTACCCCACTGAGCCCTTTGCTTCTCACCCTCTGTCTTTCACTATCCCTCCAGTTCCTGAGCCTTAAAGCCCTTTCAGTTTGATTCATTTTCATGAATATAGTACTGTCCTGTGCCACATGCATTACAAAGACTGGGCATACATAGAATAAGAGATCTGGTTTTTGCTTTATACAACTCACAATCTAATGAGAAAACCTATAGAAAAGAAAATAATATTGTAGTACAAGAGTTTGTTAGAGGTAGTCTGCACACCCTAGGAGAGGCACCAGAAGAGTGACTTTGAGCTGAGTCTTAAAGGATGAGAATCTATTCAACATTCCTTGTAAGAGACGTATCTCTGCAGTGATGAAGTAAAAAGACAGAGGCAGTAGGCTTAGGTTGTCACTCCAGAAGCCCACCCTACGCTCTTATCCCCTGAGCCTTTGTCTGAGTGTTTGTCTTTGAATGTAGTTCTGTCTCAGCAAGCAACAGACAGGGTTATAAGGGATGTCAAATCTCTAATAACTAGGGAGTGAATTGACTGGAAATAAAAAATTGTTACCCTACAGTGTCTGAGACTTGATCCAAGAATCCAAATAATTCTTTTTAGTTCTTCTGCTTAATTGGTAAGCAAAAGGCTGGTAAGTGAAAAGCAATTCACTGGTTGGTTTTATACGCATCAAATATAGTGGCAGGCTCTGATCTCAAGTGACTTTCCTAAGCCCAAATTTTGTCTATCTAGGAACATAATGTATATAGAGCAAACCTTGTTGTCTGCATGAAAATAACTGTGAATAGATTCACAATGATAGGAGTCTTATTTGGCACATCAGGGCCAGGTTTTAAAAAAGAAGAAAGAAGAAGTAAGATATACCAACATGTCAGAGCTACTTATTGAAGACTGAATTGATCTATTTGATTATAGGCTAATCAGCATAACTTAATATTGTTTTTATAGACTCGAATCTTGGTTACACATAGCCTTCACTTTCTTCCTCAAGTGGATGAAATTGTGGTTGTGGAAAATGGTACCATCTTGGAGACAGGATCCTACAATTCTCTGCTGGCGAAAAAGGGAGTATTTGCTAAGAATCTGAAGATGTTTCTAAAGCATGCAGATTCTGAAGGGGAGGTCACAGGTATGTGAGAATTGGACCGGATGAACTTAGAGCATGGGTAGAAATTATAAGCCAATATCTAACTTCTTCTGAACTGTTCAGTTTCCAGTGAACTACATTTGCTATTGAATTATCCATATATCTGCACTCTGTTCTTTCTGTCTTCTGTGTCTTTATAAAGAAACACAGAAATCAAAATTCTGTGCCTGGGCTAAACTGGAAGCAGTCTTGCTCATCTGATCTCAGATGTGCTATCAAGAGACTCTTACACTTAGAAGGCTAAAATAAAGATTTGGGTGAGGAATCTTGTAGAAGAACCATTAGTGGCTAAAGGGACCCTCTTTTAGGTAAACCTTGTTCCTAAATTATATATGTTACCCCAACTAATCACTATACACTTGCATAGCTTCGTAATCTTGCACTAAGTTTACTGCTCAATTCTTGACAAAGCCTAGTAAATGGATCATAATTAATACACCCAAAACCACTTCTCCAAGTAGCTGCAACATCCAGAGCTGAGCCAGTCTAACTGGCTTCTTCTAGAGAACTAGAAGAAGCTTCTTCTAGTTCTCCCATGTGAGTGCAAGGTCCCAAGGCTTTGAGCCATCCTCTATGGCTTTCCTGGACCGCAAGTAGGCAGCTGAATTTGAAGCAAAACAACTGGCACCCTTATGGGATCCTGGCACACGCAAGGCAAGGATTTAGCAATGGAGCCGTCATACCAGATCCTGTTCATTGCTTCTATGAAACAGCAACTTTATGGAGATCCATATTATACCATCCCCATTGATTTTATTTTCTCAACACATTTTTTCCTAAGGATTTATTTATTTATTTATTTAAAGTCAGATATTCAGAGGAGGAGAGACAGAGAGGAAGATCTTACATCCACTGATTCACTCCCCAAGTGGCCACAGTGATTAGAGCTGAGTTGATCCAAAGCCAGGAACCAGAAGCCACTTCGAGGTCTCCCACGCAGGTGCAGGGTCCCAAACACTTGGGCCATCCTGCACTGCTTTCCCAGGCCCAAGCAGGGAGCTGGATGGGAAGCAGGGTCACTGGTATTAGAACTGGCGCTCATATGGGATCCAGACACGTTCAAGGCAAGGACTTTAACCACTAGGCTAACGTGCCTGACCCAACACATTTTTAAATGGTTTAAATTAATAAAAGATTGTCAGATATTTGGATCTTTGAAGTGAGAATTTTCCACATATACTCATGCCTTTTGTCAATTCTAGGTGTGGTGACTCTTCCATTTGCTTTTGTCTTTAGGTGTTCTTTTATGTTCCAAAGAAACATAAGCATTTTCAATTTTCTCTTTTTTTTTTCACTATTCTGTCTTCTAATGGGATAACAACCCATTACTGCCTTATTCACAGGACTGTGAGAGCCTATTCGAGGGCTAGGAGAGATACTTTCTATTTCCCTAACCTTATTTGTGTCTCCCTAGTCAATGATGGTGATGAAGACGATGACAATGACTCTGTACTGATGCCTAGCATGGAGGAGCTCCCTGAAGATGCAGCTTCCTTGACCTTGAAGAGGGAAAATAGCCTGCATGGAACCCTTAGGCACAGGTTGGTGATTCATTCAGCTAGTGGTTCTGTCATTTCCCTATTTCCACTTGCTCATTCTCTTTTCCTCTGGGTGCTTTTCCTGAGTGAGTGTCACCATGGACACCTGTAGCTCTTCCTTGGTCTCCTTGGGGTGGAGAGGAAGAGTTTTACAGTTGTCTTGATTTCCCAGGTTCATCTGCTCTGTATACACCTTTGATGCCTGCACAGTGATTGTGACATCTGCTTGTCGAAAAAACCTTCAGGAAGCATCTGCATACTCAAGGGAACTTTTCTCCCTCCACCCCTCTGCTCTAGGTCCAGTAGCAGACATCGGAAATCCTTGAAAAACTCCTTAAAGGTGCGGAATGGGAATATCCCAAAGGAGGAGGAACTGGTGAAAGGACAAAAACTAATTAAGAAGGAGTTCATGGAAACTGGAAAGGTGAGAGCCACACCACATACACACACAAAAAGCTCTATTTGAGATTGTGTAAGGCTTGAAATCTGGAAATTTTGCAATTAGAGGAAATTTGAATATATGTCTGCAAGAGCAGTATGTCCTAATGTTCATTAGAAGTCTTTGAATTCATTCAAATATTGGAGGCTTTCTATGCAATCATAGTTCCATGAAGAATAGCCTTTTTTTCCTCAGCCTTCACTGAGTGAATATTTGATTCTATTCTGATGTGTGGAAATCAGCTGAACTGCTTTGAGATGCAATTCTGAGAGCCAGGGAACACTGATTTATCACACCCAGAGAATACAGTTTATATGAATAAAACCTCAAATCACTAGTTTCAGGGTTTGTAGTATCATTCCATCTATCCTCTTGTTTGTCTGTCTTCCCTCTTAATTGCCTCTAGATTACTAATAACCCAATAACTATTTACCTAGCAATGCGTTTCAGCATTAATCTATCAGGGGCTTTCCAAAAAAAATTTGCGGGGGGAGGCTTTCATAAATTTAGGGAAAAATACATAGTGTGAAAAAAAACTATACATGAATGTCAAGATTATTTTGACAGGCTGGTGTCATAACATAGTAGGTAAAACCACCACCTGCAATGCCTGTATCCCATATGGACACTGGTTCATGCCCTAGCTGCTCCACTTCCCATCCAGCTCCCTGCTGGTGGCCTGGGGAAGGCATCAGAGGATGGCCCAAAGCCTTGGGCCACTGCTACCCACATGGAGACTTGGCTTCTGGCTGACTTGCTCCTGGTTTAGCCTTGTCCATTGTGGTCACATGAAGAGTAAACGAGCAGATGGAAGTCTTCCCTCTTTGTGTCTCTCCCTCTCTGTAACTCTTTCAAATAAACAAATATTTAAATCTTTTTTAAAATGTTTTTCACCAAAACAAACTGATCTTTCATCTGTTTTCCATAGACATTTTAAACCTCATTATTCTGTTCTGGGGCAGAAATTCAGACACCGACTAACATAGTTTGCTACCTGCTTTTTCTAAGAGACTCCACTCCTCTGTGTGATTGGTGTTGTGGGTAAATGCTCAACACAATCCATTAGGGAGTTCTACTAACCTGAGGTGGTACTTTGCAGGTGAAATTGGCCATCTACTTGAAATATCTAAAAGCAGTAGGATGGTGTTCCATATTCTTCATCACCTTTTTCTACATTTTGAATTCTGTGGCTTTGGTTGGATCCAACCTCTGGCTCAGTGCTTGGACCAGTGATTCTGCAATCTACAACAGCACCAACTATCCATCCTCTCAGAGAGACCTGAGAATTGGGATCTTTGCAGCTCTGGGCGTAGCACAAGGTAGGTCTGACAGCTGCAGCAGCAATCTCTTACAGGATCTGTGTGGACTCTACTTTTCTTGGACTCAAAAAAGCATTTGCTGTTATGTCCTGAAACAGATTCTCAGGGAACCCAGTGCCTAGTACTAACTAAACTTGTTCCATTTTTAGGTGCAACCTTGCTTATAGGAAATGCCTGGAGTGCCAAAAGTTGTGCCCATGCATCAAGTCTCTTACACAAGCAACTGCTGAACAACATCCTTCGAGCACCCATGAGGTTTTTTGACACAACACCCATAGGCCGGATTGTGAACAGATTTTCTGGTGTAAGTATCTCAAAGGTTGTAAGGTAGTGTATTTGTATACCACAACTTTTCCTCACAGAAGGAATCTTCATGCCCCTCCGTGCAGTTCTGGTTCTTCCATCTGCTCAGCATACAATGTTTGAGTACATGTTGAGTTCCCACAGATTCCTAGGATACAGTGCTGCCTTTTCAAGTAACTTTTCATCTAGTACTGGAGACAGCTGAGGAAACGAGGGATTATGATAGAACATGGTCAGATCAACAAACAGCAGCATCTGTGAAAGCGTTCTGAGACTACACAGGAACGGCAGAGCAAAGAGGCTCAGCCTGGGTGACAGGATGGAAAGGTCAGAAAAGGCAAGACTTGGGTTAAATTACAGAGATAAGCCAGGGAGGAGAGGAGAATTGGTGAAGGTGAAGAGAGTAGAATCTGAGTAAGAAGGATTATTCTGCAGAAGGAAAAATGTAAGTAAAAGCATTCTCACTTCCTGATAGAGCAAATAAAAGGGGATGGTAGGATAACCATTTACTTTATTTAGGCCTCCATTATTGAAACTTCCATCTTTGATGCTTAACAGCAGTGAGTTAATATGTTTGATGAAATAGAGCCATCTGCAATTACAGGGGGATTCTCATCCACTGTTTGAGGTCTATTTCAGATTGTCTACTACAGTGTCACTGCAAATCCTGGTACTGTTGGTGTTTATCCATTGACATCTATTCATTCATTCAATAAATGAATCAAATAATATGCTAGATAGTAGGTTACTCAACCAATGTTAAGAGGAGCAGGCATTTAGCCTAGAGCTTAAGACATTTGCATCCCATGTGGGAGAAACTCCTGCTCCTGCCTCCAGCTTCCTGTGAATGCATGCAGACTCCAGGAGCCAGTGTGATGGCTGAAGTATGTTCCCAAAACACATGGGGAGACCTGGGTGGTGTTCCTAGCTCCATCCCTGGCCCAGCCATGGCCACTAGAGAGTGAGCCAGCAGAAGAGAATGCGGATTCTCTTTTTCCCTCAAATAAATATTAAAAATAAACAAATGTTAAGGTTATTAGTGATTCCCTTCCATGAGACAGACCTAAATCATTGATTGTTTAAAAGGATTTATTTGAATATCAGAGTTACAGAGAGAAAAAGAATTCTCCTATCTGTTGTTTTACTCCCCAAATAGCAAAACAGCCAGGGCTTGGCTAGACTAAAGTCAAGAGTTTGGGGCTTCATCTGGGTCTCCCCATACAAATACAGGGGTACAAGCACTTGAACCATCTTCAGCTGCTATCTGAGGTGCATTAGCAGAGAGCTTGATTGAAAGTAAAGAAGGCAGGACTCTGTGAGACACTGTGCCTCAGACAATAGCTTGACCTGCCTTGCTACCACAATGCTGGCCCCTAAATCAGTGATGTTTAATGCATCTGAGCTAGAGGTTTCAGGAGCAGAGAACAAACAATTTTTTTAAAGATTTATTTATTTTTATTCCAAAGTCGGATATACAGAGAGGAGAAGAGACAGAGAGGAAGAGCTTCTGTCCGATGATTCACTCCCCAAGTGAGCACAACGGCTGGTGCTGTGCTGATCTGGAGCCAGGAGCCAGGAGCTTCTGGGTATCCCACACGGGTGCAGGTCCCAAGCCTTTGGGCCATCCTCAACTGCTTTCCCAGGCCACAAGCAGGGAGCTGGATGGGAAGTGGAGTGGCCACGATATAAACCAGCGCCCAAATGGGATCCTAGCAATTTCAAAGCAAGGACTTTAGCCACAAGGCCACCGTGCCAGGCCTGAGAACAAACAATTCTAATGAGAGTCTACTGTCATCAGCATACTTGTTCTCTGCTTGGGTGGAAGAGAGTATGCTTTTAGAAATAAAAAATTTAAAAATACGTTCTCACTTGTTTGGTCTTAGAGTAGACATGGAAAGGAAAACCCAAGTTCACAGCTGGATCCTGGGGGCACAGTAGCTGCTTCAACAGTGTGTAGGTGACCGTCCTCATTTATTACCTTGCCCAGGGCAGGGAAATCTGAAATATGAGGCTTCCATAGTATGTTTCAAACCATTATCTTTGTATTAATTTTTTCCACAAGCTGTGAGGGTATTAGCATAGTATGACTCTTCAGCACCCCCTCAGGTCTGTGGTTTGAACACTGGCAGGGCAGAGATCACATTTACTTTCACGCCCCTTTTCCCTTCATGCTTTGCACTGGGCCCAGGCTACAACTTCCCAGAATAGAGTGGCTCTTTAGGGCAGGTGTCAGGGCCTTGTTGATGGGAGCCTCCAAACAAATGCTTACTGAGTACCTATTATATGATAGGCTGTGTGCTAGGTCCTCAGCGGAATTAGGACCTGTGTAAATTTAGAATAACCGACCTGGTTTAGCTATGGGAGAAGGATTTATCCATAAGGTTCTGTTGGCATATAATGATTATGAATGGTTTAATGACAATCGGGCATTTCAGTGAGAAGAGTGTAAACTTTGACCAAGTCTACTGTAAAATAATTGAGAGAGAGAGAGACTCCCATTTCGATGTGGAAGGATTTTGAAAAACAAAGAAATTACAGTAATGAAATCTGTTATTGGCATGATCTATTGCAAGTGAGTTTCATGAGACAGTTGGGTGGAAGAGTGGCAGGGCGTGCACATGTCTGAAGAGCTGATGGGTGCGCTGTCTCTGGATCGTCTTCCCAGGACATCTCCACGGTGGACGACACCCTCCCCCAGACCCTGCGCACCTGGATGTTGTGCTTCCTGGGGATAGTCAGCATTCTTGTCATGATCTGCATGGCCACCCCAGTCTTTGCCGTCATCATCGTTCCTCTTGCCATCATTTACGTGTCGGTTCAGGTAGGTCTGGAACCGGCTAGGTCTTCCTTCTCCGTTGCTGAAAGTCCACGGTTTTTCCTGAGATTCCTCACTTTTATTTCTTGCTAGTCCTTCCTCTCCAGTATCTTTGCTGTTAAATTGAATGTTGATTTATCCAGGCACCAATAAGCCCCTGAATTGTTAACCTCAATTAATATATGATTTATAACTCATCTACCCCTAACTGCTGCTGTGTGGAAGACTGACGTTTCCTCCCAAGAACATGTCGAGACTGCACTCCATCTGAACCCCCATAATGTTCAAGTACTTCCGCTCACCCTCGTTCGGTAACTCTGCTGACTCTACTCTTGAATTCTTACCCAAACCTTTAGCTAACTTTTTCTGGCCATTTCCTTGTCCATCCCACTTTTACACAACATCCTTTTCTCTAATGAGTACAGACACTTTGGATGACATATGCACATCTGGGGAGAATGTGGGTTAGGCTGACAGAGCTTCCTATGTGGGCTGGGAATTCAGGTATTCAAGGCAATGATGTCTCCACATTTTCCTCATGCTCTGTCCCCACCATCCCCAATCTTTCTGTTCTCTTCCTCTCTGCCTCTCCCATCCTTTCCTTAGACACCTGTCCTTTGCAGGTGTGGACTGTGTCCATTAAGGTGAAAGAGGAATTATAGCAGAGGCAACATGATTCTGTAACTCTGTTTTTGTGTTCAGGTGCTTTATGTGGCTACTTCTCGCCAGCTGAGACGTCTGGACTCTGTCACCCGGTCCCCTGTGTATTCTCACTTCACTGAGACCGTGTCAGGTTTGTCTGTCATCCGTGCCTTTGAGCACCAGCAGCGATTTCTGAAACAAAATGAGAATGGGATTGATACCAACCAGAAGTTTGTCTCTTCCTGGATTACTTCCAACAGGTAGGGCTTTCCCCTGGCCATTGGCCCCAGTGTGTACTTGGGCTTCTGTGTGTTTGGCGGTAGCCATGGGAAGGCAGGCACAGTTGTATCTGCACATGCTGTCCAGCCATGTAAGTAGAGAGGAGAGAGCACGAGTTTTGTCATCAGAGACTGGGTCTCCATACCACCTCTGCCATCTTCCAAGATGGGTGAATTGTCTTTGCCTCTCTAAGGACAAATCTCAGTTTCTTTGAACTTTTTTAAAAGATTTTTTTGTTGTTGTTGTTGGAAAGTCAGATATACAAAGAAGAGGAGAGACAGAAAGATCTTCTGTCTGATGATGCACTCCCCAAGTGACTGCAATGGCTGGTGCTGCACTGATCTGAAGCCAGGAGCCAGGAGCTTCTGGGTCTCCCACTTGGATGCAGGATCCCAAGGTCTTGGGTTGTCCTCGACTGCCTTCTCAGGCCACAAGCGGAAAGCTGGATGGGAAGTAGGGCTGCCGGGATTAGACCCGGTGCCCCCATATGGGATCCCAGCATGTTCAAAGCAAGGACTTTAGCTGCTAGGCCACTACACCAGGCCCAGTTTCTTTGTCATAACTCTCAGGATTATGGTAGAAATCAGGTGTCATTTGCAAGCATATTGTAAGCAAGGTTCTGTGCAAGTTCTGGGTATACCACACATTCTCTATTTGCTTCCCTGAGAGTAGTTGTGAGGTTCTCCAAAGGCGTGGTCCTCTTTGTAGGGTGGTGAAAGAGGTGGAAGCTGGGGAGAGGACAGTTGGGAAGTTTTTGAAAATCCCACTGGTGACAGAAATGGAAAACCCACAGTCTATGAGGTGAATACCTGAACAGGTAAATCTTGTCCTCCAGCATCCTTAGACTGCGGTACGTGAGGTGCGTCCCCAGAGGAGGGTCTTAGAAAGGGGACGTTCACGTTCATGAGTGCTTGGCAAAGTGCCTTGAGGTATTAAGGACAGGCTCGTGATGCACATTCAGCATTGTCCAGAACACAGAGGAGTCAGAAGCTTGTCAAGATAACTTATTTCTTAGAGGTTTTTCCAAGAAAAACAAGTATATAGGGCCCGGCGGCGTGGCCTAGAGGCTAGGGTCCTCGCCTTGAATGCAGCAGGATCCCATATGGGTGCCGGTTCTAATCCTGGCAGCTCCACTTCCCATCCAGCTCCCTGCTTGTGCCCTGGGAAAGCAGTCAAGGATGGCCCAAAGCCTTGGGATCCTGCACCCGTGTGGGATACCCGGAAGATGCTCCTGGCTCCTGGCTTCGGATCGGCATAGCATCGGCCATTGTGCTCACTTGGGGAGTGAATCACCGGATGGAAGATCTTCCTCTCTGTCTCTCCTTCTGTCTGTATATCTGACTTTCCAATAAAAATAAATAAATCTTTAAAAAAAAGAAGTAGAGATAGGAAAGAAAAAAAATTAAATAAATAGATAGATAGATAGATCTTATTGGATCCCCACTATAAAATTTGTAGATTTATTTGTTAATATGCTAAAATTATTGGTACAAATATGTTTAAATATATTTTATTTGGAAATAGCAAGTTTTATAAACTATGTCTTTTTATATGTACTCTTTATTGCTCCACAGAGCTTCGTGTATTTGCCTGTGATTAATGGGCAAGTACCTCACTCCCTACTCACATCATGTTCTTATTTTCTTCTCCACCTTTTTTTAGATTTATTTATTTTTATTGGAAAGGCAAATATACAGAGAGGAGAAGAGACAAAGAGGAAGATCTTCTGTCCAGTGGTTCACTCGCCAAGGGGCCACAATGGCTGGAGCTGAGCCAATCCGAAGCCAGGAGCCAGGAGCTTCTTTTGGGTCTCCCATGGGGGTGCAGGGTCTCCAGGCGTTGGGCCGTCCTTGACAGCTTTCCCAGGCCACAAGCAGGAAGCTGGATGGCAAACATGGCCCTTATGGGATCCCAGTGTGTTCAAGGCGAGGACTTTAGCTGCTAGGCTACCACACTGGGCCCTCTTCTCCACCTTTCTAAAAAGATGTCAGACAGGCTACATGGAGCCTTCCTGCAGTGCTTACTTTTTAATTTTACATCTGTGTTCTCTATGGCATTGCTTCCTTGACTTGCTTAAAATAAGTCATTTGGAACATTTCTTTTAAATGCTTAAGAATTTATTTGAAAGACAGAGTTATATAGGATATCATCATTTAGGCAGTACTGAGGATATCCTAAGTAACATCCTACAACTCAAATCCCCATGGATACTCTGTGGATGCAGATACTAAAGTGATCTCTCTCTCTCCCCGTCTCTCTGTTTTCTACCTTATAGGTGGCTTGCATTTCGCCTGGAGTTTGTTGGAAACTTGATCGTCTTCTCTTCAGCCTTGCTGATGGTTATTTATAAACAAACACAGACTGGGGACATCGCGGGCTTTGTTTTATCCAATGCACTCAATGTGAGTCTGAATGTTGGGAGTTTGGCTAAGTTAATGCATGTATTCTTTTTTAAAGAATTTATTTATTTTAAAAGTAAAATTACAGAAAGAGAATAGAGGGAAAGGAGAAAAATCTTCCATGTTCCAAAATGGGCTCAATGGCTGTGGGTATGCCAGGCTCAAGCCAGGAGCCAGAAACTCCATCCAGGTCCCCCACGTGGGTGGCAGGGTTCTCTTCCAGGCATGTCAGCAGGGAGTTGGATTAGAAGTGGAGCAGCTAGGACTCTAACCAGTGCTCAGAGGGGATGCCAGTGCTGTAGATGACAGCTCAGCCTACGGTTCCACGACACCGCTTCCGTGCACTTACTCTTAACCTGAGCCTGAGTTGCACTGTGAAGTCAGTGCTTTTGGTTCCTGTCCAGATCCAGAACAACTAGAAGAGACTGAGGTTCAGACCTTTTAAAGTAGACTCCAGTGTTGTCTGGAAAAATGGATGGACTAATATATACAGCTCCTGATGACTTAAGAAGGCCATTTCATAGTTTTGTTTTAATGGTTCTCTATCTCTGCCTCTGTGCTTGGTTCTCTTCAAAAGAGAAAAGAAATAATTTTCTTCTCAGGAAATGTTTTGAATAAATGATTCCTCCTATGTTTGTTTTTCTCAGTTCACAATAATTGGTGTTAATTGTACTAAAAGCCATAGAGTCTACATAAAACTTTAAAATGTTTCTTACTTCAGTATCCCCAGCATTGTGAGGGGGTAAACGACAGGCATTATTATTTCCTAGCACAGAAGACTGCAACAGCTGTTCAGTAAACATTCATCCAGTAAATGAATCGTATGGCCATCTTTCATGGTGTCTTTTTGAAATATTTTAGACACTTATATCTGTGCACTTTATGCAGTTTCACCTTAATCAGAGGTTAATAAGGCCAATGGCAGGGCGCCCAGGCTAAAGTCACTGGGGTCCTATTGCTACTGCCCCTTCACATTCCTTTCCCTACCCCCTATTTCTTTATTATTTTCATTGGAAAGGCATATTTAAAGAGAGAAGGAAAGATCTTGCAATTGATGGTTCACTGCCAAAGTGACTGCAACAGCTGGAACAGAGCCAATCCAAAGGCAGGAGCCAGGACTTTCTGAGTCTCCCACGTAGGTGTAGGAACCCAAGGCTTTGGGCCATCCTCTGTGCTCTCCTGAGCCACAAGGAGGAAACTGGATGTGAAGTGGAGCAGCCAGGACACACACTGGCTCCCATATGGGATCCCAGCACTTGAAGGAGGAGGATCAGCCAGTTGCACCAGGCCCTCCCCATCCCTATATCTAAGTGTATTAAACCAGGACAGACACTGCAAATAGTCAAGGTGCTATTTGATGGAACCAAAGCAAGACCATTCCATTATCATCAGCTGCACATGATTCACCCTGCTCAGCAGTCACTGTCAGTCCCCACCGAGCCTGTCTTCTGCTGTCGATGACTCCCTCTCTCCCACCACCATTTGGTTTACCAGGACTCCCTATGCACAAGTGCCAATCCTGGCTGAAAGAAGCTTGCTTCTGAGTTGTCTCTAAGCTGATGAACAGATCTTAGCAATCTCTTCAGCAGTATGTAGATGTAGCTGTGCAACGACAGGGCGGCAGTTGCAGTTGATTGATGTAAAATAAGGAGAAGAGTCCATGTAGTAGGTGAAGAACAAGACCAAAGACAAAAAGTGGCAAATTTTTGGAATATTTCTGCCTTTTCTCCTGCTCATCCCCATTGGTAGGATGACTTCTACAATGCCTGTGTATAGAACCCAGGCTTAGTCAGCAAAGCTGAGCTGTGGTCCCATTCAAGCAATGGTCAACCACCCAGATCCCAGGTTCAGCCCCCATCTACTCCAGCTTTACATTGTCCTTCATGTGAATGGCACACGGTAGTGCCTGTCACTCTCTCCAGCCACTCAATGAGCTCCTCTTATTTCTTCCCCCAAGTCAGAAAGTTCTTGAGCTTTGCTGACTCTCCCACAGAGCCCAGCATAATCCTCAGTACAAGACAGGTACCTGCTGCTGGACAAGTTGAGTCGGCTTCTGAGCCCAAGATGATTGTCCATCTTCTGGTTTTTCTGTAGATCACACAAACCCTGAACTGGCTAGTGAGAATGACATCAGAAACAGAGACCAACATTGTGGCTGTTGAGCGAATTACTGAGTACATAAAAGTGGAAAATGAGGTAAGTAAGGAGAGCATCAAGGAGCCCAAGGACAAGGTGCATCTTCAGTACTCACAAGGCATCATCGTGACTAAAGTTTCCTTTGCTTGAGTTCTAAAGACTCAGTTTATTCCAACCGACAATAGGAAATGGTTTGGGGGAAGTTAGATCTTGGAATGTGCCAAGGTAGGTGGTGGCTTCATTGTGAAGGTCCATAGGCCCAACTTGTGGGGTGGAGTTTATTGAATACATCAGGAACTTTCCTGGAAGAAAAAGTCCAATTCATTCTGTTGGATTGCAAGCTGGAAGGTGGCTGGGTCCCTGATGCCCTTCTGCTGTCCTGTGACGGGAGTCGTATGAGGATTGTGGGCTGAGTCGTCACCGTATAAAGCACTGCTCATCTGTCTTTTGGCCAGGCACCCTGGGTGACAGATAAGAGGCCTCCAGCAGATTGGCCCCAAAGAGGTGAGATCCAGTTTATCAACTACCAAGTGCGGTACCGGCCTGAGCTAGATCTCGTGCTGAAAGGAATCAACTGTGACATCAAGAGCACAGAGAAGGTAGGTGGAGTGATGGGAGGCCTGCATCTGAGGCCTTGGAATCATCACAGGATGGTTGGACAGCAGAGAGCAGCACAGGCTAGAGGGATGTGCAGGGACACAGCATCACCACCAGAGGGCTCAGGTTTAGTGCTGCCACCATCAAAGCTTCCCTGGAGCCCAGGCTGCTGTAAGGACCAGAGCAGAGGGAAGTCCCTAAACAGAGCCTGGCCCAGCTTCCCTCCTGCTCAGTCAAATCAGACACTTTTCTTCAGTATTCTTGTACTCCAAGGACCTGGAGTCTAATGAAGGACCACTTCTCCCCTCCGCCAAAAAAATCTGTGGGTCAGTGACACCTGGTCCTTCCCCTTCCCTGACTTCCAAGCAAGCATCTGGCAATGATGTAACAGTTGAATTGAGAGAGCCATCTTTTTCAGACATATGGACAGATTTTTACCACCAGCAAAACCCAAATCAACTTAATATCTTAGAAATGAAGTAGCTGATCCCTGCGTTTTAATACCTCTGATTGCAAATACTCCAGGCTCGGGACTCCCTCCCCACTCTCCCCAGGAGGTTTGCATTTAACTAACACCAAAAGAACTGTGTTCACAGATTGGCGTGGTGGGCAGGACAGGAGCGGGGAAGTCGTCCCTCACCAACTGCCTCTTCAGAATCTTAGAGGCTGCGGGCGGCCGGATCACCATCGATGGGATAGATATCGCCTCCCTCGGGCTCCATGACCTTCGAGGGAAACTGACCATCATCCCGCAGGTGAGCTCCAGCACATACTTTTTTTTCAAGATTTATTTATTTTTATTGCAAAGTCAGATATACAGAGGGAGGGTGAGAGACAGAGAGGAAGAGATTCCATCCGCTGGGTCACTCCCCAAGTGGCTGCAATGGCCAGAGCTGTGCCAGTCTGAAGCCAGGAACCCGGGGCTTCTTCCGGGTCTTCCACGTGGGCGCAGGATCCCAAACACTTGGGCCGTCCTCTACTGCTTTCCCAGGCCACAAGTATGGAGCTGGGCAGGAAACAGGGCTGCTGGGATACGAACTGGTGCCCATATGGGATCCTGGTGTGTGTAAGGCAAGGACTTTAGCCACTAGGCTACCGTGCCAGGCCAAGCACTTTTGTCACAACCAGTGGGGCAGCCTGTTCTGCAGGTTTATTCCCATTAATGTCTGCTCAACCAGCACTATCTTCTGCGGTCTACTTGGGATGCCTGTGCTGCTTCCTTAAGGCACAGGCTTCCTTGCTGTTCCTACTCGGGTTTGGGGTTTTTGTGTGCATTTGTGAGGACCAGGATCTTACCAGTAGGTGGCAGCAACACAAAAGCAGTCAAATAGAGATGATTATTTAGCATTTCTGAAGCTCATCAAGGTTTGCAAAAGCTTTGCAATCAGCATTCGCAGTTTTGCCACTGAAGCTTGAAGCCATTAAGCTTTATACTCCCCATTTGGTATGGTTAACAGAGAAAGGAGGGCATTTGCCGTGTTTCTGTCAGCAGGCAGAATACTTAATGCATCAGCAAAAAAGACTTCTCAGGGATCCTACCAACTAAGGGTTGCCTGGGGGCCCTCTGCTGCGCGGGTTTCACTGGAACCATGCCACTTCCCGCACTGCAGCCAGGTTGCTCTGGGGTTAGTTTCACTGTGTCTGGGGTTTGCTCAGTTTGACACAATCTCTCCTCCATCCTCTTCAAAACGTCCTTCCCTCTGCCTCCCAGGATCCCTGTGCCTCTAGGCCGCAGGTGTTCCTGTGGGGATGCCCAGGCAAGTCCAGCTGCGAACCAGCTCCCAGCTGAAGGGGTCCATCGCCATCAGGCCAGGCCCACCCGCTGTCTCCCAGCCGTGAGGAACCGTTGGTTGAGTCTGTTTCTCACGGCTCGCTTGCCCCTTGGCTTGCAGGACCCCATCCTGTTCTCTGGAAGCCTGCGGATGAATCTGGACCCTTTCAACAACTACTCAGACGAGGAGATCTGGAAGGCCCTGGAGCTGGCTCACCTCAAGTCCTTTGTGGCTGGCCTCCAACATGGACTGTCCCACGAAGTGTCAGAGGCCGGCGACAACCTGAGGTAAATCTCAAGACCAAGACCGGCTTCCCCATAGGCACTGGGAGGAGGTGAGGGGCCCACTCCTCATGTTCCTTGTAGTGTTCGTGCCTGACACCCCACAATTTTCACCCTCCGGGTCTAACTCCTAATATGCCAAATAAATCCATTGTAAATGTAACATGATGAAATAGATGTGAAAATGCTCTGGAACTCACAAACCTGTGTTACTGAGTGTAGCGCTCAAGCCCTTACACGGGGTGAGCTTCTGGATGGTTCCATAATAAAGAACCAGGAAGTGGAGGTTCTCAGCTGACCACCCCACAGCAGGGGGAGACTGTTCTGCAGCCTGCTCCATCCCAAGTGTCTGGTTTCACTGAATATGGGAGGTTTACAGGAGCCCAGCTGGGAACCCCACTCAGCCCAGGGGGTAACACCCTTAAATCCTTGGGACGGTTGACACCCCTCAAATCCTTTTCAAAGCATTTTCACAAATGTCCCTTTACATTTGGCCTGTACTTCGGGTTGACCTGTGAACAAGCTGATCTGGTGTTTTCACTGTAAGAAGCTGAGTTTTCCATCAGCACACGGAAGGTGAGCCTTAGCTGAAGCCCACTGCTCACGGACAGGCCTCGCCCCTGTCCCAAGGATCTCAGCCAGCGATCTGCAGGCAATCAAGCGTCAAAAACATCAACACTTGGAGCTCAGGAGGGAGGAAGAGCATCATAGCTCAATTAATGGGCCAGCAGCTCCAGCTTCCCATGGGAGCTTGTTACAAATGCAGAAGCCCAGGCCCTACTCTTGCTAATCAGTGTCTGCAGTTTATCAAGATACCCAGGTGTTGCAGGGGTGCGTTACACCTCGAGAAGCACCTTCTGAGTGCTGGTACTGACTCAAGCCTGGCTGCAAGCTAGAATCAGCGGCAGCCCCGGGCTACACCCCAGTCCCCTTGAGCCTGGGACCCCCGTGATTCCACCCACCACCAAGCACACCTCAAACACCATCAGTTTTGTTTTCCTTCAGCGACAGATCTGGGGACCAGCAGAATTGAAACAAGGCTTTCAAATAATATAAAAAAGTTATTCAAACATTCAGTCAGCAAGTGTATAATTGCATAGATTACATGCTAGGCATTGGGGACAGAGGCCAGTTAAAACACGCACGGCTTCTGCATCCTAACGCCAAGAGATGGAGGAGACAACCTGTGGAGGCAAACACCACTGGCAGCCAGTATTGCAGAAGGGACATGTGGGACACTATTGTAGGACAGGGTGGGGCCTCGATACCCAACAGCTGGTAGGAGCAAAAACCAGCATGTCCTTCTCACCCTAGGAGATCCTCACACAGTCTCCCCGGTGTCTGGTTTCGAGCCCTGAAGTTTACACCTGAAGTTTCTCTACTGGACAGTGGGTCCATCAGCTAGGCCTCAGCAGCAGGGAGCCAGAGTGGGACTTCAGCATGGCCTGCACCAGTCTCAACCAGCTTGACACAGGCAGGAGTTTGGTACAAGCTAAGGGAGGAGTTTTTACAGTGTCTCTAATGTTACATTACCGAGAAAAAACTCCAAGTTCATCTTGGGTGACTTCTTATTTCCTGCAGAAATTTCTTCCAGAGAATTACAGAACCTGCATCTAGCCACCCCCTGTTTAATATGTTCCCTAATGGCCACAGCAGGAAAGAGCAATTAGCAAATTCCTGAATATTTCCTTCACATCATTTCCCAAAGCTTCTTGATGTAAGTAAGAGGTCCAGCCTTCATTACAGGCTTGTAGCAAATTAAAGCTATTTGCATTTCACAAGCATATTCGAATTCCACATACATTGCATCTCACACCAAGACATCGTGTTCATTAGACAACTTCATCTCTAATCAAGGCAGAAGGCCTTGAACAAATAATTAGCCTTGAGACTAGAATTGCACATTAAAATAAAGGATGGATATGCCAAGGCCATGGAGAAATGCCACTGGGGCATTCTACTGCAATGGCACCCTCTGTGAATGGCGTCAGGCCAGAGACTGCTGAGGAGAACTTAGAGATGTTCATGATATTTTAGAGTGTTAATGCCACTGTGGCCAAATACAAGGCAGTGTTCCTGGGCCAGTGTTTTCCAAACGTGGCTTAAATGTGAAAATTGCCTGGGGTGCTTGTTGAAAATGGTCCCTCTCCATCTAGAGTAAATTAAGGTCTAGAAATATGGACTTTTTTGATCAAGTGTCTGTGAAGGATGTTCTCATTCTGAAACTTGAAAAATGCTGCCCCCAACAGCAGTGCAAGCCAGTTGAAGAAGCTAGTTGAGAGCATTCTAGAACTGAGGAGTAGGAGGTTTCAGAGTCGGTCCCCCTAGTTTCGCCTCGGTCCTTAGAGGCTAACACACAGTTTCTTCCGTCGGCTGCAGCATAGGGCAGAGGCAGCTACTGTGCCTGGGCAGAGCTCTGCTTCGAAAGTCCAAGATTCTGGTCCTAGATGAAGCCACCGCCGCGGTGGATCTCGAGACAGATAACCTCATCCAGACGACCATCCGGAGCGAGTTCTCCCACTGCACGGTCATCACAATCGCACACAGACTGCACACCATCATGGACAGCGACAAGTGAGTGCGGGTGGGACTGGGGAGACACGGCAGGGAGGGTGTCAGCCCTGAGACGCCTCACGGCACAAGGGTTAACCATCAGCAGTTTAGGGATGCATCCCAGGCCCACCCAAAGATTTTCAGTCATTTGGCCAAAAGTATGTATCAAGCTAATGAAAGCCAATGGATGTTAGGGAACTCCCTTGAGGGTAAAAAAGGAAATTGTAGCTGATGAGTGTGGGAGGTAGTTGTGGACCTTCCCAACCATCTGGGGCCTCTGCCACTACCCCTGTACGGTGTCTGGAAACTTCCTGTCCTCTGTCCCTCCCAACTATGGCGTGTTATATTCGAGGTCAGCAACCTAGAAAACTGGAGAGTACAGGCTTTCCTATTTTTTGGCCCGGGGAACGATTCCCCTGTTAAACCAGTCTATCCTGAAGTGACGTGCACTTCACTGAAGTGGACTCACACTGCCTGCATGCTTGTATCTCCTGATGCTCCGAGTGGCGTTCTGCCATGCTGAGGTGCAGGGCTGTGGGTCCATCGCCCCCTTTCACAGCTTTGTGACCTTGCACCCCTCTACCGCTGCTTGATCCCAGTGATTTTCACAAGTGCAAAGGTTTGAGATCCTACTTTCTAAATCTCTGTGTCTTTCTTCCCTCCTTCAGGATAATGGTCCTAGAGAATGGGAACATTATAGAGTATGGCAGCCCTGAAGAACTGCTGGACAACCAGGGTCCCTTCTATCTGATGGCCAAGGAAGCTGGCATTGAGAATGTGAACAACACAGCATTCTAGCAATGGGTTCCAAGGCTGCAAAGACTGTGAGGGTCATTCCTTATGTTACCTCTGTGAAATCGATCCTGTGTACAAAAGTGTGTATAACACATACATATAGAATATGTAAAAACGAATGTTCATGTACCTACTACCCAGGATAAGAAAATGAATATTTGGGGCCGGCACTGTGGCTTAATGGGTAAAGCTGCCATCTGCAATGCCAGCATCCAATATGCACTTCAGTTCAAGTCCTGGCTGTTCCACTCCGATCCCTGCTTATGGCCAGGGAAAGTCGCAGATGGCCCAAGTCCTTGGGCCCCAGCACCCACGAGGGAGATTCGGAAGAAGCTTCTGGTTCCTGGCTTTGGACTGCCCCAATTCCAGCCGTTGAGGCAATTTGAGGAGTGAAACAGCGCATGGAAAAGATGGTTTTTTTTTTTTTCTCTGTCACTCTGTAACTCTGCCTTTCAGATAAATAAATAAATCTTTTTAAAAAAGGAAAAGAAGGTGGGTCTCAGGACGGGGCATCTCATGCCTGGATCCCGGATGGCCGCCATGGGCACATGGTGAGCCGTGTCCGGGCCTGCTGGGTTCCAGAGGCTGCTTCCTTCAGGGTGAGTAGACCGAGGGGGGAGGCCTCTGGGACTGGGCAGGTCCGGCACCCAGCCACCGCCCTCATTGGGCGGTGAAGGGGATTTGGGAGGGGCACGACCTTGGGCCTGGGAATTTAAACCTCCAGCAGCCTCCCGGCAGCTGGTGGGTCTCAGGACGGGGCGTCTCATGCCTGGATCCCGGACGGCCGCCATGGGCACATGGTGAGCCGTGTCCGGGCCTGCTGGGTTCCAGAGGCTGCTTCCTTCAGGGTGAGTAGACCGAGGGGGGAGGCCTCTGGGACTGGGCAGGTCCGGCACCCAGCCACCGCCCTCATTGGGCGGTGAAGGGGATTTGGGAGGGGCACGACCTTGGGCCTGGGAATTTAAACCTCCAGCAGCCTCCCGGCAGCTGGTGGGTCTCAGGACGGGGCGTCTCATGCCTGGATCCCGGACGGCCGCCATGGGCACATGGTGAGCCGTGTCCGGGCCTGCTGGGTTCCAGAGGCTGCTTCCTTCAGGGTGAGTAGACCGAGGGGGGAGGCCTCTGGGACTGGGCAGGTCCGGCACCCAGCCACCGCCCTCATTGGGCGGTGAAGGGGATTTGGGAGGGGCACGACCTTGGGCCTGGGAATTTAAACCTCCAGCAGCCTCCCGGCAGCTGGTGGGTCTCAGGACGGGGCGTCTCATGCCTGGATCCCGGACGGCCGCCATGGGCACATGGTGAGCCGTGTCCGGGCCTGCTGGGTTCCAGAGGCTGCTTCCTTCAGGGTGAGTAGACCGAGGGGGGAGGCCTCTGGGACTGGGCAGGTCCGGCACCCAGCCACCGCCCTCATTGGGCGGTGAAGGGGATTTGGGAGGGGCACGACCTTGGGCCTGGGAATTTAAACCTCCAGCAGCCTCCCGGCAGCTGGTGGGTCTCAGGACGGGGCGTCTCATGCCTGGATCCCGGACGGCCGCCATGGGCACATGGTGAGCCGTGTCCGGGCCTGCTGGGTTCCAGAGGCTGCTTCCTTCAGGGTGAGTAGACCGAGGGGGGAGGCCTCTGGGACTGGGCAGGTCCGGCACCCAGCCACCGCCCTCATTGGGCGGTGAAGGGGATTTGGGAGGGGCACGACCTTGGGCCTGGGAATTTAAACCTCCAGCAGCCTCCCGGCAGCTGGTGGGTCTCAGGACGGGGCGTCTCATGCCTGGATCCCGGACGGCCGCCATGGGCACATGGTGAGCCGTGTCCGGGCCTGCTGGGTTCCAGAGGCTGCTTCCTTCAGGGTGAGTAGACCGAGGGGGGAGGCCTCTGGGACTGGGCAGGTCCGGCACCCAGCCACCGCCCTCATTGGGCGGTGAAGGGGATTTGGGAGGGGCACGACCTTGGGCCTGGGAATTTAAACCTCCAGCAGCCTCCCGGCAGCTGGTGGGTCTCAGGACGGGGCGTCTCATGCCTGGATCCCGGACGGCCGCCATGGGCACATGGTGAGCCGTGTCCGGGCCTGCTGGGTTCCAGAGGCTGCTTCCTTCAGGGTGAGTAGACCGAGGGGGGAGGCCTCTGGGACTGGGCAGGTCCGGCACCCAGCCACCGCCCTCATTGGGCGGTGAAGGGGATTTGGGAGGGGCACGACCTTGGGCCTGGGAATTTAAACCTCCAGCAGCCTCCCGGCAGCTGGTGGGTCTCAGGACGGGGCGTCTCATGCCTGGATCCCGGACGGCCGCCATGGGCACATGGTGAGCCGTGTCCGGGCCTGCTGGGTTCCAGAGGCTGCTTCCTTCAGGGTGAGTAGACCGAGGGGGGAGGCCTCTGGGACTGGGCAGGTCCGGCACCCAGCCACCGCCCTCATTGGGCGGTGAAGGGGATTTGGGAGGGGCACGACCTTGGGCCTGGGAATTTAAACCTCCAGCAGCCTCCCGGCAGCTGGTGGGTCTCAGGACGGGGCGTCTCATGCCTGGATCCCGGACGGCCGCCATGGGCACATGGTGAGCCGTGTCCGGGCCTGCTGGGTTCCAGAGGCTGCTTCCTTCAGGGTGAGTAGACCGAGGGGGGAGGCCTCTGGGACTGGGCAGGTCCGGCACCCAGCCACCGCCCTCATTGGGCGGTGAAGGGGATTTGGGAGGGGCACGACCTTGGGCCTGGGAATTTAAACCTCCAGCAGCCTCCCGGCAGCTGGTGGGTCTCAGGACGGGGCGTCTCATGCCTGGATCCCGGACGGCCGCCATGGGCACATGGTGAGCCGTGTCCGGGCCTGCTGGGTTCCAGAGGCTGCTTCCTTCAGGGTGAGTAGACCGAGGGGGGAGGCCTCTGGGACTGGGCAGGTCCGGCACCCAGCCACCGCCCTCATTGGGCGGTGAAGGGGATTTGGGAGGGGCACGACCTTGGGCCTGGGAATTTAAACCTCCAGCAGCCTCCCGGCAGCTGGTGGGTCTCAGGACGGGGCGTCTCATGCCTGGATCCCGGACGGCCGCCATGGGCACATGGTGAGCCGTGTCCGGGCCTGCTGGGTTCCAGAGGCTGCTTCCTTCAGGGTGAGTAGACCGAGGGGGGAGGCCTCTGGGACTGGGCAGGTCCGGCACCCAGCCACCGCCCTCATTGGGCGGTGAAGGGGATTTGGGAGGGGCACGACCTTGGGCCTGGGAATTTAAACCTCCAGCAGCCTCCCGGCAGCTGGTGGGTCTCAGGACGGGGCGTCTCATGCCTGGATCCCGGACGGCCGCCATGGGCACATGGTGAGCCGTGTCCGGGCCTGCTGGGTTCCAGAGGCTGCTTCCTTCAGGGTGAGTAGACCGAGGGGGGAGGCCTCTGGGACTGGGCAGGTCCGGCACCCAGCCACCGCCCTCATTGGGCGGTGAAGGGGATTTGGGAGGGGCACGACCTTGGGCCTGGGAATTTAAACCTCCAGCAGCCTCCCGGCAGCTGGTGGGTCTCAGGACGGGGCGTCTCATGCCTGGATCCCGGACGGCCGCCATGGGCACATGGTGAGCCGTGTCCGGGCCTGCTGGGTTCCAGAGGCTGCTTCCTTCAGGGTGAGTAGACCGAGGGGGGAGGCCTCTGGGACTGGGCAGGTCCGGCACCCAGCCACCGCCCTCATTGGGCGGTGAAGGGGATTTGGGAGGGGCACGACCTTGGGCCTGGGAATTTAAACCTCCAGCAGCCTCCCGGCAGCTGGTGGGTCTCAGGACGGGGCGTCTCATGCCTGGATCCCGGACGGCCGCCATGGGCACATGGTGAGCCGTGTCCGGGCCTGCTGGGTTCCAGAGGCTGCTTCCTTCAGGGTGAGTAGACCGAGGGGGGAGGCCTCTGGGACTGGGCAGGTCCGGCACCCAGCCACCGCCCTCATTGGGCGGTGAAGGGGATTTGGGAGGGGCACGACCTTGGGCCTGGGAATTTAAACCTCCAGCAGCCTCCCGGCAGCTGGTGGGTCTCAGGACGGGGCGTCTCATGCCTGGATCCCGGACGGCCGCCATGGGCACATGGTGAGCCGTGTCCGGGCCTGCTGGGTTCCAGAGGCTGCTTCCTTCAGGGTGAGTAGACCGAGGGGGGAGGCCTCTGGGACTGGGCAGGTCCGGCACCCAGCCACCGCCCTCATTGGGCGGTGAAGGGGATTTGGGAGGGGCACGACCTTGGGCCTGGGAATTTAAACCTCCAGCAGCCTCCCGGCAGCTGGTGGGTCTCAGGACGGGGCGTCTCATGCCTGGATCCCGGACGGCCGCCATGGGCACATGGTGAGCCGTGTCCGGGCCTGCTGGGTTCCAGAGGCTGCTTCCTTCAGGGTGAGTAGACCGAGGGGGGAGGCCTCTGGGACTGGGCAGGTCCGGCACCCAGCCACCGCCCTCATTGGGCGGTGAAGGGGATTTGGGAGGGGCACGACCTTGGGCCTGGGAATTTAAACCTCCAGCAGCCTCCCGGCAGCTGGTGGGTCTCAGGACGGGGCGTCTCATGCCTGGATCCCGGACGGCCGCCATGGGCACATGGTGAGCCGTGTCCGGGCCTGCTGGGTTCCAGAGGCTGCTTCCTTCAGGGTGAGTAGACCGAGGGGGGAGGCCTCTGGGACTGGGCAGGTCCGGCACCCAGCCACCGCCCTCATTGGGCGGTGAAGGGGATTTGGGAGGGGCACGACCTTGGGCCTGGGAATTTAAACCTCCAGCAGCCTCCCGGCAGCTGGTGGGTCTCAGGACGGGGCGTCTCATGCCTGGATCCCGGACGGCCGCCATGGGCACATGGTGAGCCGTGTCCGGGCCTGCTGGGTTCCAGAGGCTGCTTCCTTCAGGGTGAGTAGACCGAGGGGGGAAGCCTCTGGGACTGGGCAGGTCCGGCACCCAGCCACCGCCCTCATTGGGCGGTGAAGGGGATTTGGGAGGGGCACGACCTTGGGCCTGGGAATTTAAACCTCCAGCAGCCTCCCGGCAGCTGGTGGGTCTCAGGACGGGGCGTCTCATGCCTGGATCCCGGACGGCCGCCATGGGCACATGGTGAGCCGTGTCCGGGCGGCCAGTGCGCCATTGGTGCCAGGCTCCGCCTGCTGGCCGCCCGGCTGGGGAGCTCTGGGTATTTGGTTCTTTTAGTCGCTGCTTAATTAGCTCTAGGTTGAACCCATTGTGATTCTCGGACCTGAAACAGGGAGTAACTCTCCCTTTGTAAAACTTGTAATCACTAATAATGCTGGGCACCAAATACCAGTCCATGCAGAAGCCTGGGCTTGGGGCTTGTCCTGCAAAAGTAGCTCCAACGGCTGGCTAATGTGTTAACTGGTAGGGAACAGAGTAGATCTAGTACGAATGAACAAACCTTAGCCCACAAGTAAAACTAGAAACCAGGAGGGAGCAAAGGTCATTCCAAGCTAGGCTCTTGTACCTACTGGGCTGCAGGAGCCAGGGACACGAAGCCACAGTCTAAGGCAGAGGTCGGGACGGGTG